CTGTTGACTAACACATCTAAAATTGACACTTGCTATATGGTGGAATGGTACCTTATCCTGGCATAATTCAAACCTATAAAGAGACAAAATATAAATAATGGAGGGGAAATAATACCAATAATGTCATCGGCTGGTGAAAGATGTTTTCTTACTACAGTTGGTTGCAGGATTTGGCATGCTCCAACAGCACAGATATGGTTATAACAATAGCAACAACAACATGGATTTATAGAGTGCCCTCAATGTCGGATGGTGTCTCAGAGCGCTTCACAATAACAGATCCCAGGGCCGAGCCAGGGGGAGGGGGAGGAAGGTGACCAAAGGCGCGGTTGAAAAGAAAGGTCTTTAGCAGAGACTTGAAAGTAGGAAGAGAGGGGGCGTGGTGAAGGGAGTGAGGAAGGGAGTTCCAGAGCCTCGAGATGTAGTGGTTGAAGGCACGGCCCCCGATGGTGGAGTGGAGGATTCGGGGTACAAGGAGGAGGCCAGACCCAGAGTAGTGAAGGCAATGGGCACTGTTGTGAAGAGAGAGGAGGTCAGAGATGTAGGGGGGTGCAGAGGAGTGGAAGTATTTGAAAACAAGAGTGAGGATCTTGAAGTCGGATGCATCGGAGGTGGAAGAAAGCGGTGCTGGTGAGGGACCCAATGTGAGGGAGGAAGGGTAATTGGGAGTCGAACCTGACACCTAGGTTGCATGGAAAGCACGGCCGCTGATGACAGATCGGAGGATTTGGGGGATAAGGAGGAGGCCAGACCCAGTGTAGCGGAGGCAGTAGAATGCACTCATCAATAAATATTGCAACAAAAAGGAAAAGTCACATATTGTCTAAGATAATGTTTTTAAATATAAATATGATCTTTATTCTGGTAAATAGTGCATGATCATTCAGTGATCAAGGTTACAAATGCAATGACATGTAGCTTCACAAAAGACCATTATAACCTTTTGAAAAAATTAGGAAAGAGTCAATGACATTGTAGTCTGATTGAATAAAGCTACCAATTTGATTGGTAATTCCTGCAAAAACAACATATCTTCAGTTCTGGCAGTACTTCACCCTTCAACTGCAAAATACAAAGTTACTACGTAAATGCTGTGAAACCTCTGTACGTGCAAAGATTATTATTATTTACCTTTAGGATCTTTGCTTTTTCTTCTTTCTTATTTAAATCTTTATATTGCCACAGTCATGGGGTGCTGTCTCAATGATTAATCTCTCTTGATTTTGTTTCCTATGCAGTTCCCCCAGCGATTGTCAAAGTGCCCCGATCACTGGGAGAATGACCTGCTCAGTTCATACATTGTGCCGAGAGCAGAAATTGATTTGAGAGTGAAACTGACAGTATCTCAACACTAGAAACCATGCAGAAATGAAAACCACCCCACAAGATACTGTAAGAGAGATTATAAATGAGAGAGTAATAAAATGTACACATAGTTTAACAGCTGATAAATCTACTGCTCCCAATTTCTCTTTGTATCAGTGTGCAATATCAAAGACACAATTACATGGGTTGACAGTCCTTATATGATTTATGTTGAATATGAAATTCACTCTGTCAATGACATCTCAGTGAAAACTATTGCGTTCACATTTAAATATTGGAGAGTTTGTCCATTCATTTATCACTTGGGAACTGGAGAACAAAAAATCATCAAAATTGTCATATTTTCTTCTCTTCTTGATGTCAGTAGAGATTAATGCCTGACACCATACCCAGTTGGAATTTACAAGACCATTTTTATCGTAATATTTATAAGATCAAATGGAATTGCAAAAAAATTATTTTATATTTTATTTGGAAGCTAATTCTTTTTAATGCCTGTTAACAAACAGCTTCCAAATTAAGACTGAAGTTTAAGAATTTTGAACAATTCTGCAATTCTTAAATTTTAAGACAAACTGATGCTGCAGGTTAAAACTAGGTGGAATTTTAGCCATAAGGTTGATAAAGTGATGGTTGGCAATTTGAAAAGGTTTCCGATAGAATGAAAATGATACCAGTGAACTAGTATCGCCCAGGACTCAGACAATATCAGTTTTCTCAGTGACTATTCGTATAATTTTCTAATAGTATTAAGGGAGGGGGCATTTGCAATATTCCTAAAAAGGCACTAAATCAAATGCAAGCATTATTAATATTATTATCATTCTGCTCCTTACCGTATATTCTGTGAAGCGCTTTGAAATGTCTTGAAGGCATGATAAGACGCCATATTAAATGCAAGGATTATTATGATTATATGGTAATCATCATAGTACTGTACAGCTTTGTGCCCAGAGTAACAATTAAGTATGACTATCCCTCCAACCTCCTGGTGTAACACATATATTATTATTATTATTATTATTATACAGGCCAGCAGCAAGCCTGAGGTCTGTGCTGTGTCTGCTAATCTCAACTGAAACAGTAGTTGGCTAGCAGCAGGAAGGCATCAAATCAGGTTTCTTGCTCCTAATCCACTCTCCAAAATTCCTCCACTAGAAAATGCATGGATTTTGGATGTCAGATAAAGTCAGGGTCCTGTTAATGCTTAAGTGGACGAATAGCTCTCTGGTAATCAAGGTTCACATGTGGAGAACGGTCATTTCACTCACTTGGAGGGTGAGCAGCATCCTTGAAATTGGGTCTCAGCCCGAAGAGCGAAATGGAGAAAATTGGCAAAGAATAAAAGGTGACTTTTAATTTTATCCCTATCAGTCATTCCATTCCATCAAACTCCATTTATGTTTTCCATTGCTTCCTGATGCAGGCCAAGTGCTTGGCTTTAAGCACTGATTTCTAAGATTTCAGAGATTTTAACAGTTTCAATGTCCACACAACATGCTCTTTCCACTAGGTAGCACAAACCCTGTCAGATTTTTTCTCCCTAGTCCAGTGGCACCAAGGCCAAATACAGTTATTGGAGTTGACTGCAATCAGTTCACACGAGGATTGAATCTTTCTGGTTTGTGGGGTTCGGTTTCACATTGGATGTGCAACTAACCAAATGAAACACCAGTGAAACACATTTGTGTAGCCATATATTGAGTGGATGATTGAGTTGCATGATCTCAGATGTGCTGATGCATAGGAACTCCCGAGAGAAAATATTGCTGTTTTTTCCCCGAATTATTGTCTGGTCGCAGAATCTGGGGAGCAGTGAGTGGTGCAATAAAGAATGCATCAGTGAATAATGCCGTCCGCAAATAAAGTGCTCCTGTTTGGATCTAGATGATGTCTTTGACAGCTAGATGATAGAAGTAGAAATAAGTAAGACGTGGTATCGGATGTATGGAGATTTTGCAAAATCAGAGAAAGGTGAAAAGGCGGAAACAAGCAAAACTGCAAGTTATGGGATCCGGTTGAAACACGTGCCAAGAATGTAAGTTACTTTGAAGCTTGGAAACTGTGATCTCTGTTGGCTGTCTGCTCTGGAAAATACAGTACAGCACTGTCAAAAACTGCTTAGAATGAACTTCTGAATGACTATACATAGCAGAAATTTGACAGAGCAAAAAACCGTTTGTGATAGGAGTCATGATTGTACTTAGACTCCTACAATGACATGCATTGAAAACCTCCTGAACCATTGAAAATCATGCCCAGGACTTACTAAGTGCCAGCTGTGTATGTGAGTGTGTGGACATTGGTTTCAGAGGCCTGAAATTCCAACTACTTTTAGATTAAGATGATTTTGTCTTAAAATTAAGATTTCCCAGATTTGTGGAAAATTCAGTCTTAACTTAGAAGTTGATTCACTTCAAGAACTCTAAAAACTGGTTTGAAGATGCAGAATTAATTTGAGAAAATTTGTGTGATCTCAAATTTTAAAGCAAAATGTTTTTTTTTACAAGCTAAGACAAATTCTGGCTTCAAGCAAGGAAAGGTTGTGATGTCAAGGAGCCTACCAGAATTTACTGTACTGATAGATAAGTACAGGATAATAGCTGTCATATATCTGACATTAACCTACTGACAAATTTAACAAATAGATTTAGTGTGATATGATTTGTCAATTACTTGATATAAAAACAGATCAACACTAACATGAAATGGGAATACAAGCGTTTTCCACCTGGTGATAAAGCTGCTCTTGTGGTGTGAAATAATGCTCGACTATAACCATAATTCTCTTTCTTGCTCAATGTTTTACCAAGCCTAGTCTTGAAAGGTTAGATTTTATTTCCATTCACTTTGAAAATACTTTGCTAACAGTTTTCAATTCTATTGCAATCTCAGTCAGTTGATTGGCGCAAAAAGGATGTATTCGATTCATATCACAAAGGAATTACAAGTTGCTATCATTTTAGAGTTTATTACTGTAATTCACAACATGCAAGCAGCAAAAAGGTATATGGGTCTTTAATTGTATATGCATCAGTTTAAATCTGTTTTTCTTGGCTTTGAGTAGTGTATTTATTAATAATTATAATTATAATAATAATGCAGCTGATAATGTAATTGACACCACGCATGGATCATGGGTGAAAATAAAAACTGAGACAAGTAGAGAATATGATAATTCTGAAGTCTTGGTAAAGAATGATTGTGAGGAGAATGGTGTAGTGAGTTTTCATTTCAACATTGATAGAGTGTAGGAAAGAGGAAAAAAACATATAGTACAGTGCGTTTGTCGCTTGGGAGGAACTAAAGGAGAGCTCTGAGGCACAATGATAGTAGAAAGCACGTACTTTTTTAATATCCTATTAAAATACCCAAACTCTCACTTTGTCTTAGCTTTAAGGTTAGGGTTGTTGGTGGCTTAAAATGTAAGATTGCAGAAATGTGGAAAATTCATAAAACAATCTAAATTTGGGAGCTGAAGCTTTTTAAGAACCAAGAAAAAAGTTTCCAAGTTAGGACTGAAATTAAGAATGCTTCACAATGCTGCACAATCTTAAATTTTAAGACAAAATCTTCCAGTTAAGATTCCAGGAGTATCTAGAGAGAAGAGAGGAAATAAGCATTCAAAGCTTTGTTACATTGGATAAATTATGAGAAGACATGTATTTAATGTTTGTAAAAACATATTTATTAGTGCTAGCGATGTTTTCATGACTTAGGATATAATACAGATACAAATAGATTAATTAGTGCTAACTTAGGTAGCAATCTAATGTGTCAAAAACATTGCAAAATAATATTTCTTGCAATGAGGTTTTGTTTTACTCTTGAATCTTGACCTGAAAGAATTTTAATGAGAAGCTTCAGAAGCCTCAATGGTCAGGTTATAAACAAATAGCGAAAAAATAAAGAACAAACAAGCTATAGCAAAACAGGTTCAAATGGAACTTGGCACATACAGTAACAATTTCACCATTCAGCCATACTACAAAGTTTCACCTTGCCTTACAATGCCTTTGTAAATTAATACAGAATAATGCATATGTGTTATAACTAAACCTCCAGTATTGTGGTTCATTTGGTGCAATGTGAAAAAAAGTGTTTGACATTGAACCACCACCTAAACTGTTTCAGCAGTTTTAGAAACAGGTTGCTAAAGATTTCTAAACATAACCTACATTAAATCATTTTATTCCTGTATATCTTAAACACTCCAACGATGTGGACTTCTTTTTACATGGCAAAAAATGACAAGAAAAATGTTCAAGTTGTCAAATTATTTTGAAATAAGTAGTCAAAGTTTCATTTTGCAGAAAGATTTGTCATGTGCAAGAATTTACAATGATTCACTCTAAGGCATTATTTGTTTCACAGTCTCCACAGGACTTGTGCTTTGATAGCAATGGGAACTTCATCCGATGTTCAAGCTGATATTATTCATTGTCCTTCTGTTTATGCCTGAAATAGTTTGACATTCATACAGGTTCTATAGATTGTTGGCTCATTAAACCTAAAATGATTTTGAATGTGGAATAGCACCATAAGAAATCTGCTTAACATCATATTTTCTGTGGCCTTTTCCATCTCTTCATCTGTTCGGAGATGTAAGTCTTTCACCCGGTTCCAGTTAGACCACAGTTTTAGAAGACATCCCAGTGTCCAAGGGAGTTGAACTTGAATAGTGGTAAAGATGGGTTATGCATATCATTCTGGTCTCCCACTGAAAATTGCAGCACTTTGAAATGATCACCAGTTTAATTAGTTATTTTTTTTCTTCACTCAAAACAGCGAGAACTGCACTGTTGAGGAATTGCAGTTGTCATTTTCTTTAAACGTCTGTGACCATTTTGCTCATTCTGTCTGAGAAACACTATAGTTGTATGGTTATCTATTAATCTACCTCATACACATACAATTCAATATGCTTACAATTTCAGGTGATTTACATAATACAGACCGGAGAAGCTTACAATACATAGAGCTTGAAGGCAGACTTCTTGTTATCACTCTAAGTGCAAACTACCAACACTTAAACACTATCCTGGCACATTCTGACAGCAAAATATAGGAAATGCATCAGGATGTCTAATGCTCTTAACCTATTTTTGGTATTGAGGGAATTCATAGTCTGCTAGAGTGCTCATCAGAATGAAGTCCTGTAACTGAAAGACATGATCACAGATAATACAGACACTGCGAAAAAAACATTTTTTAAAAAAAGTACAAACCTTCATAAATTATGCAGTAAATGGTTTGCATTCAGATTATCAGTTAAACCACAAATACACAAAGGACAGTAAATTTGAATGCATCGTTCCTTCTTTGTATGTCAGACGAAACATCTGTGAACGATGCTCAGCGAAATCGATCATGGTTTGATGTGGCTCATTCCCATGGACATAGCAGGTAGCTGAGTGTAGGCTTGCATAGGAGCAACCCCACTGAGTGGAACTGATCACATCTGCAGTCATTAGTGACAAACATCAAACCAGGAGACAACTTTGTAGCTTCATCATGCAGGCTTCCAGCTCTGCAGCTTCATTCCCAGATTAGCTATAAGCTGCACCTCACTGAAATCTCCACCAGGATTTGTAACCTTCACACACACACACACACACACTATCTACACACACACACAGTTCAATTGAACACGTACTTTTTCTTCATTTCCTTGCTGTACTGTTACCGTAAAATAGTTTTAGGTTATTTTGCCTTTGTTTGAAAAAAAAGAAGGGAAAAAAAAGCAACAGCGTTGAAGTTCCAGGTTACTTTTTGGTCTGTATGGCATCCTGGAATTTTGTACTTGTATATCGTATATGGAATCCTTTTTTGTTTATTGTGTCATCAGTATGGAAATGGATTAAAATGGCATCTCCCGCTGAATAGATTTCCTCAGGTGGCTGTGGAAAAAAAATTATATTATTAAGTAATAAATTCATTTAAAAATAGGAGCGGGGTTTAGAGTCTAGTGTGGAGTATAAACAACGGACTAGTTGGGGTAATGCTTTGCTTTCTGGATTAGGGAATCTGTGTAACGTTCAATAGATTTTATTATACAATTTACAAACCACGTAATAAACTTTAGATATTCAGTATATTGTTAACATTTATATATTTCGTTCTCCCTGATTATACAGATCTTACATCTGCTTCATAAGCAACACTGTGTTTACCATTACCTGGCCACTGTTTACGAAGTCTGGTAGGACCCCTTAGCATATGTGCAGAATATATTTCCTGCAGGGTGGAGCAATACATTTGAAAGATAGGACAGAACCCGACAATTTCAGACAAAAATTGCGGAGCCCATAGCCTTCCCTGTATTGGTGAATGGCACCCGGCAGGCTTGACCGCACTTTCGAATGGCAGAATGTATTGTCTACAGAAGTTAGTCGGAGGATCTGTTTCACCTTATTCACTTTGATCGTTGTTTTTGGAGTGGTTTGTGGTCTTGTGAATCAAAGGGCCTTAGAGTCTGACAAAGAAAACCTTTGGATCAACCAGCCCACTTTCTTGACCATTTGCTGTGTAGCTGAGAGGCCACCAGATCAATTTGAGTAACTGAGAAGAGATACAGTATCCATGCTTCACTCCTTTCTGAAGCAGCCAGCAAGTTTCTCACAAGACAAGGATGTGACCAAAGAAGATGCGCTGAATGTCACGTGTGTGGCAGCTGGTAACGAATTTTTATCAATGTGAATTTAAAATTCCAGCAAAACTAAACTGTTTCAGCAAAATTCAATAAACAGCCAACTTCCAGAGCAGCATAAACCAAGCAGTGCTTATTGAGCATCCTGGGTAGATCAGTCGGTTGAACACCTAATTTAAGATGAAAATGTTCTAGATTGGAATCCTACATCCATTTGAGCTCAATAAAATGGCTATCATGTCTAAAAGTAGCTTTTTGGTGGGAGGTAAGAAATGTCTCCTTACAACTAAAGGGGCTAAGCATCTGGCAATGCCAAGCATATCTGCAGCACCACACGTGTGTAGAAAACGCAAATTATATATGCTTTTAATATGTGATTTACAACTATGGTAAAGGATTGCAGGTGATTTGGTGAAACTTTTCATTGGTGGTTAAGTAAATATTTAAGGACATCTATAATTCCCTCTCTTTACATGTGTTTAAGAACATAGGAAAACAGGAACAGAAAAATGGAACAGGCACAGCCCATCAAGCCTATTCCACCAACTTATTAAATTTTGGTTGATATTTTAATCCTAATATGCCACCCATTTGTCATACTCTTTACTTTCCTCTGTTACCCAAGTACCCGTCGGTCTGTTTTTTAAGTACATCCCTACTGATTTTCTTCTTCAGCTTTCTGGGGTAGATCATTCCGCATCTTCACAACTCTCTGTTTATTTAATTTCCAAATTAGGCCAAAGCAGATCTTCATTGAAGCTGGTATGTAACATTCCAGTTCACGTACTTGTTGTATGGTCAGCTTATGGTAAGTTTATGTTGCCATCTGAGTAGCAAGTTTACCACTGTCACTTGTCATATATTTACATTGTCAAAATGTAACAATTGGCATATTGCATCATCAGTACCATTAGAGTATAATCAAAGCCTGCAAAGCTTTAGTGTAGATACTATTAGATGAACCATCAAGCAATTCTGTCACTTACTCCAGATCCACAGAACCGCCCAAGTCTTGAAGCTGTTGTATCAAACCCATCGAACAGTTCAATAAAGTCATAGCCACAGTCAGCTTCCACCTCCACTTCAAACGTCTGAAAAGAGAGCTCCACGCTGTAGCCTTTTTCTGCTAAAACCTGCCACTCACAGTCCACTTGGCCTGGGTAGTTGTTATCTCCAAACTGAGCGTGAGAAAACAAATCCTTAGATTTGATTTCAGCCTTCAGTCTGCCACCACATTCTGAAAACAAAGAAGACACTGCCGTTACAGTTTTGTAATTCAATCCCTCACACACTTCACATGACTCCAGTGACTGCAGAGAGCCTTTGCTAATTGAAATATTGAGGTTAAACTTGTGGTCTATGTCATACTTATCACATCAAACAGCCACGAGGCAACATTCTCAATGAAGCTAAGACCATGGCTTTGGACGTCTGACTCATGAATTGCTTACAGAAAACAGTCACTACACTTTACACTACACTATGAAGCACTTTTAGATGTTATCCTGCCGTAAAAAGTGCTGTATTCAATTCATTTATTATTCATTTTATCATTATTACTGTGGCCATCGACTGCTGGTTAGCGGGATACCAGTGTGCTGAGCTTTTGTTTTGTAAGTCAGGTGCCCTCTAACAATAAGACCAAGTTGCAATTAGAATCCCAACAATGAGGACTTGGTCTCTCAAGTTCACTATAAAGAATAAGGTCTGGTGGGGTGGGGGTCTGCTACCAGCCAATTCAATGAATTTACAATATAATAATAATAATCCTTGCATTTGATATAGTGCTTTTCACGTCTTCTCGACATCTCAAAGCACTTCACAGAATATGCTGTGAAGTGAATTGACTGTATATTTGTGGGCAAAACACGGCAGCCAATTGCGCACAGCAATGTCCCACAAACAGTCGTGGATTGAGTAACCAATTTATTATTGTTTTGTTTTGGAGGGATTATTATTAGGCGTGTGGAGTAAGGAAACTTGCCCAAGGTTTCGCCCTGCCTGGAATTGAACCCAGGTGTCTCGCTTGCAAGGCGAGTGCTCTAACCACTGAGCTGCAGGACTCCACAATTTGCCTATAAAATACAGTCACCGCAGTAAATCCTGTGAAGCGGTTTGAGATGTGAAATGCACTATATCAAATGCAACGATAAATTCTACATGAACCGCATTTATAATAATCGTGCATTTGACAGAGTGCCTTATCATGTTGCCAAGACCTGTCCAAAGATACTCTGTAAAGTGGTTACTAGTGATTTGAACACATAGTGTTATGTTCCCCTTCATTTTTACATGTTTATATCAGTGGTAATATGTCATCTTCAAATGCTCGCACAGTTTTAATCTGGAGGATTTGGATGGGTCAAAGAGACCAGACTGTTGTGCAATGTCACAAAAGATTATTGACGACAACAACAACAACTTGCAATTTAAATAAAAACAGAAGTCGCTGGGAGCACTCAGCAGGTCAGGCAGCATATATGGAGAAACGAAAGTGAGTCAACGTTTCAGGCTCACGACCTTTCATCAGAACTGGGGTATGTTGGGATGGAAAGGCTTTTAAGAGCTAACAGAGAGTGGGAAGGCAGAGCAAGGAAGAAGAAAAAAGGTAGAGGGCAGGGGATGATGGGTTAAACCAACGTTAATGATGTAAAACAAAGGTGAATGCAACAAAACAAGGGAATAGAGTGTTAATAATGCAAAACAAAGGGGGTGTAATTGCAACCAAACAAGCAGACCAGAGAGAGAAAAGGTGTGTCTGGGACCCAATGGTCACAGGGGAGGGGGAAGATGAGCTGTTATGGTCTGAAATTGTTGAAATCAATATTGAGGCCAGAGGGCTGTAAGGTCCCCAGCAGACAGATGAGGTGTTGTTCTTCGAGCTTGCGCTGTGGCTCATCCTTGGGCAAGTTTCCTTACTCCACACGCCTAATAATAATCCCTCCAAAAACCCAAAACAGTAATGAAATTGGTCATTTTCAATCTACGACTGTTTGTGGGACATTGCTGTGCGCAATTGGCTGCCGCGTTTGCCCACAAATATACAGTCAATTCACTTTACAGTGTGGTTTGTGAAGCGCTTTGGGACGTCCTCCCGACGTGAAAAGCGCTATATCAAATGCAAGGATTATTATTATTATTGGAACAGTGTAGGAGACCGTGGATGGAGAGGTCAGAGTGTGAGTGGGAGGGAGAGTTGAAGTAGCAAGAAACCGGAAGCTCAGGGTTGTGCTTGCGGACAGAACAAATATCAACAAAATTAGATTTGTAAAGCGCCTTTCACGTCGGGAGGATGTCCCAAGGCGCTGGACAGACAGAGTTACGGGGTGGGGGCGGGCAGGACAAGCAGGGAGATCAAAAGCACGATCAAAAAGGTGGGTCCCGAAGGTGGAGAGACGGAGGGACTCAGGATGGAGCTCCAGAAGGCAATGGAGGTGTTCGGCAAATCGGTCACCCAATCTGCGTTTCATCTCCCCAATGCAGAGGAGAAAGTGCTGGCATTGCATCTCCTGCGCTGGCATGGAAGGGTGCCAGGGGGAGGAGAGCAACTGTTGGTGGTGATGGAGGAATGAACCAGGGAGTCACAGAGAGAACAGTCCCTTCGAATGCTGAGAGGGGAGGAGAGGGAAAGATATGTTTAGTGGTTGGATCATGCTGGAGGTGTCGGAAATGGCAGAGAATTATTTGTTGGCCAACAAATTATTCGAGGAACAGCACCTCATTTATCTGCTAGGGACGTTACAGCCCTTTGGTCTCAATATTGATTTCAACAATTTCAGACCATAACAGTTCACCTTCCCCCTCTTCTGTGACCATTATCACATCATCTGGATCCCAGACACACCTTTTCTCTCTCTGGTCTGCTTGTTTGGTTGCAATTACACCCCCTTTGTTTTGCATTATTAACACCTCTATTCACCTGTTTTGTTGTAATCCCCTAGTTTGTTTTGCATCATTAAACCCTCTGTCACCCATCATCCCCTGTCCTCTATCCTATTTTCCCCTTTGTTTTCCTTGCCCTGCTTCCCCCCTCTCTGCTAGCCCTTAAAAGCCTCTCCCTCCTAACATGCCCCAGTTCTGACAAATGGTCATAGACTCGAAACGTTGACTCACTTTCGTTTCTCCATATATGCTGCCTGACCTGCTGAGTGTTCCCAGCGACTTCTGTTTTTGTTTCAGATTTCCAGCATCTGCAGTATTTTGTGTTTTGTAACAACTTGCAATTATATGATGCACGTCAAAACATATTCTGGCAAATTGGCTGCCAAGCTCACCCACAAAATACCCACAGTGACACCACATTACAGTATATCCTGTGAAACACTTTGTGAAGTTTCCACAACATGATAAGGCACTATATAAAAACATTGGTCAGCCAGGTGTCTTGACACATGCAGAAACCCATCACCATGCGTAAGAGTATCCAAACCAAACTGAAAATTCCATGGATCACACCCACACATAGAAATTCCAGAGATAGATTATTATAAACCCATGTTTCAAACTATTATTGCGGATATGCATACTTTAGTCTCGAGGTGGCATCATAACAGAAAGTCCCATATGAAACCTGGAATTTGGATGATTTGTAACATAGGAGAACCCAACTATAATGGTTGTTTTGGTTCCATAAACCCAAGCATCATGTTATAATGGGGCACAAAGCTAAAATAACCACAGCAACATCATGTTTGTTCGTGGATGCAGTGCAGGAAACACAGTTGGTGCTATTTCCTAAAAATGGCCACTGCTGTCATCACTTCCAATGTATTGCATATGCAAGAAGCACGCGGAAAATACAGATGATACCAGTTTCTTAGCATACAACACACAGGGACACTGGCAACCACAGTCACAGGTCCAGTGAACAATGTAATTCACACAATAACAAAACATGTTATAACCGGGTCATCCTTTAAATAAACAGGGGCTTCTATTCATTAATCACTGGACTAGGTGAGATTGGCTTTCAGGAATGAAAAAGATTTAACTGTTTGCAGGCTAATGTGTTCAAAGAGTTCAGATTTCACAACCTTTAAATCATTGGTGATTAATAATACATACTACCACTAGATGACAGTATAATACTTTTAAACAGTCCACTGGGCTTAACATTACTGAGAAGTGCTGTTAAAAGGTGACACGGCAAGATACCAGAGTGTGCCTGGGGAACAGCTACTACAGAAAAGAACTTAAATTTTTATAGTATCTTACCATATCAAAACAGTGATTATTGTCATGTCAGGTTTAATAACAATAGCAGCTAATTCCACAGGAAAAGTCCCACAAACACGTCAGAACTGTTAAGCACTAAATATAAATTTATATACATGTCAATTATATATAAATTGTAAATTTATATCCTCCTTAGGGATAGAGAAATGCGGGAAGAAAGAGCATTCCATTCCAACAACTATCTCTAAAATTTCCATGTGTAGGTGGGATGGATGGATCTCTCAGTTTGGTTTTGATGCTTTTAAGCGTGGTAATGGCTTTCCGCAGCTGTCAGACACCTGGATGACCAAACAAAACGTAAATCTGGATTGTATTTTATTGTATAGACAGACATGAGATGAATGACTGCTTAATCTGGAGGATTGTTGACCAGGACAGTATATAAAAAATAAATAAAATAATTATCGTTACATTTGATATAATGCCTTTCAAAGTATTTCTCAGAATATGATGCAAAGTGGAGTGACTGTCTATGCCATGGGTGAATAGTTAACAAGTTTACAAAAGAAGTGGAGGGAAGAAATTGGAAGGGGAGCAATTACCAGACTAAAGCATATAAAAGTATAAAATAGGGAAGGACAAATAAACATATAAAAGAATAAAATATTCTGCCAGAAATTTGTACATCTATTTTTAAAAAAAGTCTTGTAACCTGAAAGTCAAGCTGAACTAAAGGTTATTAGTTTGCAAAGGAACAACTTTTAGCTGAAAATGTTTGTGTTTACAGAATATTGTGAGTTCCTCTTTAGACGTATAATCGATTTCCCACAACTTCTGATACGCTTGAAAACTTAAGAGAAAAACATGTGTAGGCTTCAGTACAATATCCCTCTGTATCCCAACACTTACGCAACAAAAGGATAGTTCACTACAGTTAAAGCACAGTTACATTCATATAGCGTCTTTCACCTTGCAGAACATCTCAAAGTGCTTTACCCTGCTGGCTGGATGCCCAAGCCCTGGATTGGGGGGAATCATGATCATTTTAAATAAATCTGAAATACTTTTAAATAAAACACAAAATACTGCAGATGCTGGAAATCTGAAACAAAAACAGAAGTCGCTGAAAACACTCAGCAGGTCAGGCAGAATCTATTGAGAAAGGAAAATCAGGTCAACGTTTCGAGTCCACGACCCTTCATCAGAACCAGTTCTGTTTTATACTTTTAAATAAGTCTGAAATAAAACTGACAGCAAAATGCTAGCAATCCACATAATATAAATCTGCATCAAAAAGAGGAAGCCAGTTTGTTGTGATTAATTCGACCTGAATCCTTCACCTATTGTGATACAATATGATACAATTTACATTTATATAGCATGTCTCACGAGGAGAGGATGTGTCAAGGTGTTTTAGATTGTTGGCTGGGCATCTGAGCTCGGGGTGGGGGCCAAATTGGGTAGGGAGGGGAAAGATGACCAAAAACATGGTCAAAGAGGTACATCTTGATACAGATTAACCTGCTGTGGATCTCCAACATTTCCTGTTTTCATCCCAATGAACTAACATTCTAGTTGTTATCGGAGGATCAGAGTGTTAAATGGCTTTTTCACCAAAGCAAGTATCAAATTAGCATCTGTAAAGGTCAGGATGGGCTCATTATTGACACCAATTAATCTAATTGTGGGAGCATGGAATGTGATGCTGCAAATACAGGAAGTGTTTTTTGTTGTGATACACTTTTACCAAATAAGTTTCTGTAAGAAATAAGTAGGGGACAATTCAACCTTCCAAAATGCACTTAATACAGGAATAGAGCAATTGGGGCTTGTGTAAACCATCAATTATACTGCGGGATACTGGTCTGGCACTAGTACATTCAATAAAACAGGAGGCAGAAATGCTGAATGTAGTATTGCGAAAGAAAAGCTCTGTGCACACACCTTTCAAAAGCTTTATTTTGGTCAGCCGGTTGTCTGACACATGTGGAAACCCATCACCGTGCTTAAGAGTATCCAAACCAAACTGAAAATTATATACATCCCACCTACACATGGAAATTCCAGAGATGTTTATTGGAATAGAATGCGTACTTTCTCCCTGGAGGGAAACATCCTGCTTACCTAATTCCGAAAAGCATTAGGCACAGGTTGGCAAGAGCCAATGCTTTAGGGACCCGAGAGTGTGCGTTTGGATATAGCTGGAGTCTAACCAGCTAAATCTAAACCTTAAATTCTTGTACCAGTATCTCAGAGCTGGCAAAAGGTTTAATTTTTAGTAGCACAGTAAACCCTAGATCCATGGAACTTACAACATTGACCATGATGTTTTCCAGCTGGGGTGCGGGTAATAATAATAATCCTTGAATTTGATATAGTCATATCACATTCTCAAAATATCTCAAAGCACTTTCCAGGAATTACTAAAGTGTAGTGACTACTTGTAGGCAAATGCAGCAGCAATTTGCATTGTACACTGTTGCCAACCTGCACCTAATATTTTCCGAATTAGATAAGCAGGATGCAACCCTCCAGGGAGGGAGTGCACATTCTATTGCAACAAATATCTCTGGAATTTCCATGTGCAAGTGGGATGCATGGGAATCTCAGCTTGGTTTGGATACTCTAAAGCATGATTGGTTTCCGCATGTGTCAGACACCCAGTTGATCTCAAAAAATTGAGGGGAAGAAGTAGGCTGAGCTCAGCCATCAGCTTCAGTTTCACATGTTTAGCTGTAAGTTGTGTTGGATCTAACACTGAAGAGAATAAAGGTCTCCTTCACAATAGGAGAAGCAACCCACAAGTAATTGATCATGGAATTTATAGCACAGTGAGACAATACTGTGTCCATTAACCCTGTGCTGCTATCTCCTTTATTAAAGCTATCTGCTCTGATCTCAATTTCATGCACCCTCCCATACTCTTTCTCCCTGAAGGGAAACATCCTGCTTACCTAATTCCGAAAAGCATTAGGCACAGGTTGGCAAGAGCCAATGCTTTAGGGACCCGAGAGTGTGGATTCAAATAATAATCCAAAAGTAGGTGATAATTTATATATGCTTCACAGTTACTTGCCTTGTCATGTCAGGAGTGTCTCAAAGCTCTTCACAAATACTCTGTGAAGAGTTTTGAGATGTTCCCTGACATGACAAGACACAATTTCAAGCATAACATTATTCTAATAATTGCTAGGTGAAACAAATCCTGTTACACAAAACATTAAAGAACTCAAGATGGTTTCAGCTTCAAAAGTCAAATAAAATGGTAGGAAAGCACATTACATCTTTACTTCATATATATCTGAGACATACACTTCTAAGTGATACCTTCTAAATTCCCAGCACCTATCTGCACTTACCTGTGGAGTGGGTAGCCTGGAAACCTTTCCTTTGTACCGATGCATCCGAAATGAATCCAATGAACATTTTGTTTGTGGTCGAGAGGACTGGATCTGGCATTTTGCTGCCACAGAATCGCCCCAGAATTGGATATTTATCAGACTCTCCGTCAAACACTTCCAGATGATCGTAAGCACATTCCTGGTGTTGTTCAATGTCAAACTCGTTGAAAGTCTGGAAAACATTGACAAGATAGGAGGTGAAATTTTTTTTCCTCTGGTAAACATACTATACAATGTATATTTTAGTTTTAATCCTTAACATGTGTGTCAAGAGTTGAGGAAAGTGGCAGAAGTGAACTGGTAAGACAGATGTGCCAATATGGTCCAGTTGGCATCCTCTGTGTCTGAAGGTTGTAGGGTCAAGCCCACAGTCAGGATTGCACTTCACAGTTGAGGCTTATGTCTGATCCAAGCTCCCCCCAAATGATTCTTTCAGTTTATCCAGTGAGTAGCTGAAACGTATAATCTAGCAACGCTTTAGGTTTAATTGATCTATGTTGAGTGAACTGTTGTCAGATGGGGAATAATAATCTTTGCATTTATTAGCTGGGGATAAGGAAGAGGGGAATAAAGAGGAGAACATCAATTTGGCTTCCTGCTTCTGATCACTACCAAGCGACTTCCAGTGGAATGTTTGTGCGTGTGGATCTTGGGTCAGAACAGAACCTGGCTTCAGCTGAGATGCCCCAATAGTCTGCCTACATGCAAAACTTACACATGAAGAATAGAGACTGAGTGAAGCGCCAGCGGAAGCACATCAATAGTAAAGAGAAATAGGAGCTAAAGCATCTTCAGGAGAAGAGGGCAAATTTTTTATGACTGTCTCAAAGAATGTTCTGCCTACCTGACACAGATCATAGCTTAGGAACTTGTAACTCAGCATGTTTTCAGAAAGTTGCTAACACAAGCCACACATTTCAGAGCTAGATCGTAATTAGTTTCTCACTTATTTTGTACAACAACAACCATAAATTACATTTGTGTAGCACCTTTCACCTCGGGAGGATGTCCCAAGCCACTGGACAGTCAGGATTTAAAGTCAGGATTCTTCAGTCCTTGGTAATTTAGCCAGATACCAGGTGGTGTTTATTTACATAGTGGACATTAAAGAGGAAGCTAGATATACACATTAGGAAGAAGGGAATAGAAGGTAAAGATGGGAGTAAGGAGTAGATGGAGACTCAATTGGAGTATAGCAATCTGACGCAAATTAGTTGGGCTGATTTTCCTGTTTCTGTGTTGTACGCTCTATGTAAATATGTAAAATCTAACAAAGGAAATGGGTTACCAGCAAAATTGATTGTGGACAAGATGCTGGTCTCATTTGCAAAACATGCTTAATTCTGGAATGGAAATATGGTAGGGTGGGGTGAGATCGAATGGGCCAAAAAGTCTTCTTTATCCAAAACTGTCTTTTGATGTTGCTTGCAAATGAATAAGTAAGATTTGTTCATGAGTGAAGTGAGCCTTGTCCAGTTCATCCTTCAGCCCAAAACTTTAGAGAAATCTCTAACAATTCTCTGGGGTTAAGCCTGTGGTGTCTTGTAATGAGATTTTATATTTTAAAGTTTCAGATTAAATAGGCTTACTTACTCAATGAAAATGTTTTAAACGTGATGGGTTGGAGAGATTTATTTTTTCAACACAAGCTATTTATTGTTGCTCCCAATCCCTAATCACTTCCAAAGCTCCATGATTGAATCAGAGCTAAAGTACTAAATAAGCCATAATCATGGATTTTGATCTTCACTATCAAAATTGAAAATCAAAACATTCAAAAGTGTCTGATTCAAAATGAGATATCTTGTAAGTGAAACTTTGGTGTAATCTTAACTTTTCACTTACAATTTCACTGATTGTTTTTATATAGATAATAAAATGTTATCTTTCTTCCTTAATCATTTGTCAGCTTGGCTCAATTGGTAACATTGGTAACACTCTCACCTATGGGTGAGAAGGTTATGGGTTCAAGTCCTGTGTCTTGAGGACTTTGAGCCAGGTCTGCACCAGAGGTAGTCACCCCATGGCCTGTGGGCCAAAAGTGGCCCACAAGGCCATCAAGAAGTGGCTCACCAAACATTTGCACAAATCTAGGCGAGTCTGTTTTAAATCACTGTTTTTTTCCAGTTGCTGCTGTGTGGCGAGGGTTATGGAGTGGCCATAAATCAAGAAGTATTCAATCAAGAAAATGTATTTGTTTGGCTGATCAAAAAGGTTGGCCACCACAGTTCTAGGCTGACATTCCAGTGCATTGTTCGGGGAGTACAGCATTGTCAGAGATGCCTTCCTTCAGATGAAATAATTTCGCCCGCAAAACACAGTCACTACACTTTACAGTATATTCTGTGAAGTGCTTTGAGATGTCTCAAAGTTGTGATAAGATGCTAATATCAAATGCAAGGATTATTATTATTGGATTATTATAAACCAATGTCTCATCTGCTTGTTAAAGTGGACATTCACGATCCTATAAAACTATTCAAAAAGAGATGATAATTACTCCCAGTATCCTGGCCAATAATCTAGAGAAATGTATTTGCCTCCTGGCTGTTTGTGGGACATTGCTATGCAGAAAGTGGTTGTTGTATTTGCCTATAAATACGCAATCATTATACTTAACAGCAAGTGCTATGATGTGCTTTGAGACATTTCAACACGATAAGCTGCTGTAGCAAAGTCAATGATTTTTAAAATTATTATTTTGCCCAAAGCTTCACATATGCTATCATTTATTGTACCTTGAATGCTCAGCAGCCTTCACAATGAAAACAGACGAAGAAAACTTCAAACAGTTAAAGATTAATGACATTGGTTGCTGATAGCATTCAGTTATAGGGAGTGAAATTCCACCTGATCCTCAATGTGCTTTCTTAACATTTCGGAGTGTCTAGAATCTGGCAAGTTCTACAGTCTTCATTTTAGAATTTTTTTCTGTCAGTTCTTTTAAGAAATACAAAAAAAATTGAAAGTCAAGATTGAATTCAGCAATTTGCCAAGCTCTGCCCACTCTGAAATGCCAAGTAAATAGCGTAAATTTCTCCCCCACATCTGATATGTGCTGATCACAAATAGGAGCAACATTTTCGTTAAATGTGTATAATGGGAAACAAGATCACAAGATAGGTTCAGATGAAGAAGACCCTTCAGCCTATTTGATCTCAACGTGGAAAGAAAGATCAACAGTATTAGCAACGGGTGCTATGACAGACTGTCATGGCGTTAATGATGCATCAAAACCTTTACTGCTCTGCATAAAAGCCATCAGGTGGAATATACTATTTTCCTTATGTTTTAAAATGTCAGATGGATAGATACAGAAGTGTCCGTGTTTGAAGATAGAGCAATACAAATATTTTAGCTAATCTGAAATTACAAAGAAAATAAATGCTAAAGGGAGGAATGAAAATATTAATCTTTGTAACTCTTTGCTTTCTTTTGACTACAACAGGTGGTTAAACAATTTAATGGAAGGATCAGAGTAATTTCTGCCTGTGATGATATATACACTAGTCTTGTATCTAAAGCACACTAAAGATAAAAATGATGCCAAATGTGTAACAAGAGTTATAAAAGTGAACAAATTGTTGATTTGGTCTACTCCTCAGAGATTACATTATTTTCGAAAGGGTTATGGAATAGGAATGCATAGGAATGTATAGGGCCCTGATAAGAACAATGTGGTCCCTCTGGCTGATCCCAATATACTTTTTTAAAAAATAACCCTCACTACTCATACTCCCGCGCTACTCATATATTTCCTACTCCTCAATTACATTAACAACTGGCATTGATATAAAGGCCTTTTTCAAATTACTTAGGATAGTCCTTCTCCACATCTATTTATATCTGTCTCTCCTCCTTTCACCTTTCAACTTCTATTTAAGTACTTTTTTTTAATAGTCTTAGGCGATTCAGCCATGTTACATGTCTGACCTTTCTTGTTGAAGTGGACTGCGATCTACATTTGATGATCCTGTCTCTTCATGTAATTTGCAAGAATTTTTTCAAGCGCTTATGTGTCAGTGTTTCAGTAATTAGCTGTGTCTCCCAGCAGGAGACCAGGGCTGGACTCCACATTGCCATCAAATATTCTCAATTTAGTTTTGAGGCTAACCTCGTAAGCTTTCTCGAACGTAAATAATTCAGGGTTAGATAAAGGCATCCTCCACAAACCATCATGGGTTCAATACAAGAACCACATCTCCAAACAGGGACAGCCTATTTCCTCAGCGTTAGGGAGTCCCTTTGAGAATTTTTGCTGGAATGTCAAGTGGCTTGTCTTGTGACACAGCATGTAATTGCGTCCTTTGCTCTGTATATGTAGGACTGAAGAACGTGACACGCGGGAGGGTTTAAAAAAAAAGCAACATCCGATGCGATAATTAACAAGCACTGGTACTAATCATCACATGGTTAGGATATTCAGTCTTGGCGATATCGTAGATGAAGGTGAACAAATTCCTAACCCCCACCACACACACACACAACAACAACAACAACAAGATTCCATTTATAGAGCGCCTTTCACGTCAGGAGGACGTCCCAAGGCGCTGCACAGTTGGGTCATGACCCGAGCAGGGGGGAAATGGTCAGGGTGAGGGGAGGGAAGGGAGGGAGCGAGGAGGAGGAAGAGAGTCGAGAGGGGAGCTGAAGGCACGGTCAAAGAGAAAGGTTTTGAGACCGGCCTTGAAGGAGGAAAGGGAGGAAGCAAGGCGAAGGCACTGGGGGATGGAGTTCCAGAGCCTGGGGGCTGAGAGGCTGAAGGCCCGACCACCGATAGTAGGGCGGTTGGGGCGGGGGACGTGGAGCAGACCGGAGCCAGAGGAACGGAGGGTACGGGCAGGTAGGTAGGGGGATAGTAGGTTGGAGAGGTAGGAGGGAGCAAGGCCGTGAATGGCCTTGTAGGTGAGGATGAGGATCTTGAAATCAATCCTCTGGGGGATGGGGAGCCAGTGGAGGCGAGCGAGGGTGGGAGTGATGTGGTCGCGAAGCCTGGTGCGGGACAGTACACGAGCTGCAGAGTTCTGAATGACCTGCAGCTTGTGGAGGGAGGTGGCGGGAAGGCCGGCGAGGAGAGAGTTCCCATAGTCCAGCCTTGAGGTGACAAAGGCGTGAACCAGGGTTTCAGCAGCGTGAGGGGTGAGGTAGTGCCGTAATCTGGCGATATTCCGGAGGTGATGGAAGGCGGTGCCAGTTGTGGTGCGGATGTGAGGGAGAAAGGACAGCTCAGGGTCGAACAAAACGCCGAGGTTCCTGACTGGCTTTGAGAGGTGGAGAGTGCAGCCTTGGATGCTGATGGTGTCAGCGCCTGAGGTGCGGAGGCGCTGACGTGAGCCAATCAGGAGGGCCTCGGTTTTTCGCACGTTGAGCTGAAGAAAGTTGTCTCTCGTCCAGGACTCGATGTCGGACAGGCAGCTGTCAGGACATCGGTGGTCGTGGAGTTGAGAGTAGAGGAGGAAAGGTAGAGTTGGGTGTCATCCGCATACATGTGGAAGTTAACTCCATGTCTGCGGATGATGTCACCGAGGGGGAGCATATAGAGGGTGAAGAGGAGGGGACCGAGGACAGAGCCCTGAGGGACACCACATGAGACAGTACGGGGGGTGGAGGAGAAGCCATTCGTTGAGACGAAGTGAAGACGGTGGGAAAGGTAAGAGCTAAACCATTCAAGGACAGTGCCTTGAAGGTTGAGGTGGGAGGACAAGCGGTGGAGGAGGATAGCGTGGTCGACCGTATCGAATGCTGCCGATAGGTCGAGGAGGACGAGGAGACAGAGGGAGCCCTGGTCACAGATGGTCAGGATATCATTGGTGACCTTGACCAGGGCAGTTTCTGTGCTATGAGCAGCACGGAAACCTGACTGAAGGGGTTCGAAAAGGGAATGGGTGGAGAGGAAAGAGCGCAGTTGGGAGGCGACAACTCTTTCCAAGACCTTGGAGAGAAAGGGGAGGTTGGAGATGGGCCGGTAGCTTGATAGCTGCGACGCATCAAGGGAGGGTTTTTTCAGGGTGGGCGTGATGATGGCAGTTTTTAATGGAATGGGGACAGAGCCAGAGGAGAGGGACAGGTTTATGATGTCAGTGATGTGTGGGGCAAGAAAATGGAATTGGGAGATAAGGAGTGGAGTGGGGATGGGGTCAAGGGAGCAGGTGGTTGGTTTTAGGGATAGGATGAGTTCAGTGACAGAGGGTGGGGAAACGGGTACAAAGGTGTGTAGGGGAGGATGGGTAGGAGTCGGAGTGTGGGAGGGAAGGGGTGGGTGGAAGTTGGAGGGGAAGTGACCGCGGAGCGGATTCCCTTGATCACACACACACAAGCGTGAGCCAAAACAGCTTCATGGATTTCCTTTGCGGAATACAACCTATACTCAATTTGCATTCACTTAGGCTATTCAGCACCTTAGGAAGTCCTGAAAGGCGCTATACAAGTGTAATTTTGTGTTGTATTATAGAGCAGGTTTACTGTAACTAAGAAAAATGATAATTTTAGGCGTTAATGTTAATGTCAATTCCCTTTCTCTCTGAAAGGCAGTATCCCTTTGCTGGAAGAGTTGCCTGGGTCCAAGCCACCCTCAGAGTCCTGCTGAAATCAGCTAACTTAGCACAGTCCAGCAGTTGAACCTGCAAACCTCTGATTTAAACGGCCCAGTGATGCAATTGGCAATATTTTGGGTAAACATTCCAAGCAAGTCTAACGGAAAATCTCAGCAGTGGCCGATATCACCAAAGAATCTGCAAATAAACTCACTGAATTTCTCTCCATGTTGCCTTAATGCACTGGATCAACAGGGAAGTTTATATTGTATACTTTTGTTCAGTTCATAGCTGTTTGTGGGACATTGCTATGCATAAATTTGCAGTTGTGTTGGCCTACAAAACAACAACAACAAAATTACATTTATAGAGCGCCTTTCATGTCGGGAGGACGTCCCCAAGCGCTGAAGTTACTACAGTTACTACACTTTACAGTCAATCCTGTGACACATTTTGAGATGATCTCCCAACGATGTGGTAAGGTGTTATATCAAATCCAAGGATTATTATTATAATGTAGTGGGGGGGGGGGGTGGTAGTGGGAAGGGGGCTGGATTAAGACTGACATTATTTTGTTGTACTAAGCACATCTCTGATTTATTGCAGGATGAGAAATGTGGTGTCAGGGCTTGGTAATGGCGGAACACTGAGCTGAAAGGTTAAAGCCTTACTGCAGGATCCCATCAAGGATGAACAGAGGTAATATTAAATTTAGCAGGCCGGTGAGCGATTGACAGCTTTTAATACAATACATATTCATTAGTCCTGCGCTAGTGTCAAAAGCACAATCTTTTCTTAAAATAGTTCTTTCAAACATAATACCAACAATAATCCTTGCATTTTCTATTATGCCTTATCACATCGTTGAGACATCTCAAAGCGCATCACAGAATATACTGTAAAGTGGAGTGACTGTATTTTGTGTTGCTCACCAATCCTTTCACTACAAATTGACAAAAACAAATTTTGAGTTGCAACAAGGTTTATATAATATTCATTTACAATCAGCTTCAGCAACCTAACGATTAAGAAGTGTTTATCATTTTAATAATAAAAAAACAAGGGAAACCATGGCATGCTGTTAAACTGCATTTTCTATCTGCTACAGCAAAGCTATTGAACCTAATCCCAACTGGATTCCTGCCAGAGGCACTGTGGTATGTGCTTTATATTAATAGTTGCCCTTGAAAAAGAGGTCCACAACCAAAATGCTGAAGATATCCTTCAGATGAAACTTATTTTTAAAAAATGCCATTTTGCATAGGAGTCATGGGAAGAATGATATGACAGAGAGTGCTAAATACTTAAAGTTGGACAGAATGATTGTATAATGCCAGGAGCCAATCTTACAGAAAAAAACAGATCACATTACAATCTCGTGATGTGAAAGGCAAAACAGCTTTTAACTTTAATTAGTATTGCCGTGACAGCTTGGATGGGTCAGTGGGTAAGGGCACTGCCCAGTGAATGAACTAGGTCATGCAGACCAGAAGACTGTAGGTTCGAATCCTGTTCTGAATTAGTTGATCTTCCTCTAAACCCTCACTCTTCCCCACCTCCACACTGGTTGAAGTTGGAGGCATGAAAATTGATCTTAGTGCCCAAGGCTAGGGATTATGTTGGGAGGGAAGGAGAAGAGTGCAAGGCAACTCCCAATTGTTACTCAGTGCTGCTGCTAAAAATGGATTTCAGATTAATGGAGTATCAATATATTTTGTGCGAAAACATGGCACACATTGAACATTAACATTTTTATCATCAGAAGTCATCCATAAAGCAAACCCTGCCAAAACTACTTCAGAAGGTTAATACTAAGTGTCATATCTTTGATTTATAATATGCCAGTTATGATAATATCCCAGTTAATGGGATGTCAGCATATCTGACATCTGGTATTTGTCAGGTGTGGGCAGGATTGGGCTAACGCCTCAAAGGAGTAGATCAAACACTGACATTCACCGACATGTATGAAATGTAAAGGATTACCACAAGCACGCGACCAGATGATTCCCATACCCAGAGCACCACACGCCAGTGTGAGTCAGCAATGCTGGGAGGAAGAGGAGGAAATACATGCTTGTCACTGCCTGTAGTCATTTCTCTGAACATGGGCAAGAGCTGAATGGCTAAGATGCTGTGCTTTGCAGATTGTTTGATCTCATTACCAATCTATAGTATCATATTGGGTCTCTAAATACAGAAATGTTGTCTGGGTAATACATAGTCTGAGTTTAGCTTGATGGTCGGTCCAGACAGGATTGTGGACATTTTAGGCCCAAAACCTCACCTTATTCTTAGCCTTTAAGTACATTTGTCTTAAAATATAAGATTGCATGCACAAAGGTGAACATTTTTTGAATTCTCTGTTACTTTGGAAGTCGGTTTCTTGCAGATTATAAAAAGAATTGGCTACCAAATTCAGACTGAATTAAGTATTTTCTACAATTTTGCCTGATTTGAAATTTGAAGACAAAATGATCTTACAGTCTGAGACGGTATATTTCGCCCACAAAACATACAGTCAATTCACTTTAAAGTATATTCTGTAAAGCACTTTGAGACATCTCAAAGACGTGATAAGGCGCTTTATCAAATGCAAGGATCATTATTATTATATTACTAGGAGCAATTTCAAGCCTTTATCTGTCATGCAGCGGGAAGAAACAGTGACTGTGCTGGTGGACATATTAAAGCAATTGCAGGTGGTATGGTCATCTTTTCTTACCAAATACTTACTATTTTCACCCTGTGCCCTGGGGTAGCTAAGATCTCCCACGTGCATTCTTTGCGGCTGGGGTATTTATCGGGCCAGTTGGGGCTGGTAATGACCCCTGTAGCACTGTGGATCTGGTGCTCACATTCAGCTGTGATCAGAGAAGAATAAAACTGATCAGTACATCGTCAAACTGTCATTTGTAACGTGAGTCACACAATAATAACTTTCATATTAGCACTCAGTTCACATTCACAGAACAAAATCACTCACAAAGACAAAGGATAAAACACAAAGTCTAAAAGGTTTGCTGAGAGGTTGATATATATTTATATTGGATACAGTATTTATATTTGTTAGGTAAGGATATCAAGGGATATGGGGCCAGGGTGGGTAATTGGAGTTGAGGTACAGATCAGCCATGATCTTATAGAATGCTGAACAGGCTTGAGGGGATGAATGGGCTACTTCTATTCCTATGTTCTTAATGTGTATTGTATATCAAGATAAATGGTAACTTGCAAAACTGGCTTTTCATGTATCAGATGTCCCTCTGGTGTGACAGAACTGAAGGTGCTCTCTGCGGAAGCATTTTCAATCTGAGGGCTGCATTTCTTTGTACCAGTTATAAATCTGAAATAGCCTTGGGTGATCACTTTATCCCTAAGATTACAGCCTGCAGTTAATAATGGATTACTGAGGTTACTGTACATCTGAATAAGGCTTTGGGGCCCACAAAAGTGCGAAAGTGGCATCTTTCACTGAAGATGTTTAAATGGACTCACTGTGTCCAATGTGGATCAAACTGTTGCTAAAACATGCATTTCTCTTAATTAAAAATAAGTCACTAAATAGTGCAGCCTCATTATAAAGCACTTCTTTAGTCTTTATATTATTACTTATTGTGCAGACTCAGCTATAATTTGGGGGCCATTCACTGTACATGTGTGTGGATGGTCTGTTCGATCTCTATGTGCCCAGCTGTATCTCATGCTACAATTGCTGACTTCTGGATTTTAAGATTGTCATTAATGTCACTTCTTGCTTTGCGCATGTGTCAACATGCATGTCAGCAGCATCCTGATAACCAAACATCAGACATCTTTTAAGCATGGGAAGCTGCCACACTATGAAAATGATTGCCATGGCCTGTTAGTAGAGGACAGAGTGGAATTTATGGCCCTCAACCATTGTGATGTAGCAAAGCTCCAATTTATTGAAGATTTCAGAAACACTTATTGTGTTTTATCAATATGGTAATATAATCTTCCCATTCTCTCTCATCCCACAATGACACATTGTGCTTCCCAACATAGAAGGAATTTAGGTTCCCAACATGAAGCGTCTGAATCAAATGATAGCTTTCACATTTCAATGTAAAACATTGTGAGATCTATGTAGCTAAGGCTAGAAAACTAACCCTGGTCCAAGGGATTTACCTGTGCCTCATCTGTCAATTTAAAACAAGGTCTCACCTAACTAATAACCTAAGTGAAGTTTGAATGATTTAGTTGCAAAGGCATCAATGAATAATCATATATGTCACATCTCAAGTATGAAATTGGGCAGAACTCCTGTTAATTCAGTATCTAATTATACATTGTTGACATTAATTTCTTTCTGTGAATTTTTTTAATAAAAAGTTTAAGTAGCCACAAGTGACTAAGATGTATTCATTGCAACAGAGATGAGGAGTTATCGATTCTGAGGGTATGAGGGCATTTAAACTACTATCGCATTTTTAAGTGCCCGAAGGAATAACGGCTGCTGTCTAGATACTGTGACTTTTAATTAAAGAATTTCCTAACATCATGTGTTGCTAAGGCCAACCAAAGTAACACTCTCCTCATCCAACTCTCTTATTCAGACTCAGCACCCTCACCCTGAGCAACTTCCCCCTGCCGACACCAAATGGTCATCACCTAACCCTCCACTGACAGAAGGGCACTCCTTCAGTCCACGAGAGAGCACTATCGTAGGAGGCTGGCAATTCACCTTACCTCCTGACCCCTCACTTCCCCCCACCCCCTGCATCCACTCTGTTTTGCCCCAACCCCCAAACTCGGCTTCCCCTCTGAAGTCTTCATAAACTGGCCACTTGGCATCTCGTTGTTGCAAGTTGCCCAACTCCATTATAAAAATAGCGAGCTCGATCCATATATTCCCTGCTCACAGATTAGCTGCCCACAGTCTCAATTTGATCTCTATGCACAGACCCATTATCAGACATTGAACTGAAGCTGAACTTTAATGAATTTAGGTTCCCAACATGAAGCATCTGAATCAAATGATAGTTCTTACATTTCAGTGTAAAATAAACATTTATTTTTTGGCTTAGGCAATAATACAGTAAAGATGCTGGGGCTTAAATAAGAATGTATTTCTGGCTCTGCTGCTCAACAGAGTTGAGGCACGCTGGGTCACTCTGGAGAATGACCAGTTAATATGTATGATCTGCACAGATTTCTTGAATCCCCACCAGCAAATACCATTCTTTCTAGAACCCTAGAAATTTACAGCACAGAAGGCCATTCAGCTTATTTATGTCTGAGCAATCTATTTTAAAGAGCAATCTATTCCGTCCTGCTTAGCTGCCTTTCCACAATATCCCTGCAAATTAATTGTCATTAGATATCTATAATAATCATAAAAAACCTTGCAATTGATATAGCGATTTTCATGTCTTCTCGACGTCTCAAAGCGCTTCACAGAATAGACTGTAAAGTGAATTGGACCGTATATTTGTGGGCAAATATCTATCTACTTCCCTTTTGAAAGATGATACAGATCTTGCCTCAGATATCGCAGGGCATTAACTATATAAAAGAAAAGTCCTAATTTCTCCCTTTGCTCCCTTGTTAAATTGTTATGTTAAATTGATGCCCTCTTGTCACAGATCATAAACTATTTGATCAGATTTTATGTTGTTGTTACTCAGAACTGTTTTGTTAGATTTTCTATAAATCTGACTTACTTTGTTAAATTCTTAAAAGTTAGTCATTTTACTTTGCCTTTTCAAGAAAATTGAAATTAACAATGGGAGTGTGGCTGATAGATGTGTGTCAGAGGATCTGCTGAGAAATTACTGGTGATTAATTATTGGAAATTGCAGAGCAGTCCTGTGGGTAGAAGATAAAAGAGCTTTGTTTCTATTTGGTAAAGAAAAATTATTGGAAAGAATAATGATTAACTGGAATACTTCTTCCCTTTATCATATTTCTATTATATGGCTGTTTGTGGGACGTAGCACTTTGAAACATGAAAGCCACTATATCAAATGCAAAGATTATTATATTATTATTGTATTACTGTTGAAACAATGGGCCTTATAATAAGCTGATTCCTACAAATAAAGGTGTGAATCTGTTCATGTCTGTTTAATGCGATATCCAAGATTTAGACAAAATCTATCAAAACATTTTCAAACAGAGATAAAATATTCTTTCATACAATAAAGACATGACTAAAACTGCTATTATTAGTAATTGGCTGGTGACAGACCCCAGTCTTTGTGTATCTCACTGTGGTCTTTAAACATCTTTAATTCTCATTTTAAAATTGGCAAAACAACAGGAAGTATTTGAAATGAACTGATTGGGGGAGTGATTGATAATTCATGTCTGGAATGACAGAAATGTGGGTGTTTAATCTGTCCCGCAATAAACTTGTGGTTCTCCACTTCAAATTCCACAAACTTTGTTAATGACAAAGACATTCCCAAAATATACAGCTCGCATGCCAGTGACGTCAATGTATTACAGTGACTCCCACTGGCTGATTCCAATTATTTTCAGAGTATTTTTCTAACCCCCACGTAAGTGCTCACTCTACCTCATGTTTCTGTTTCATTCTTAAGCACATAAGGAGCTTTTAGAAATTGGATAATTGCACATTTCTTATTAAGAAATCTGTTAAGAAAAACTGCTAACTAGACCGCATTATTATTTTCTTCTACCAAATGGGGAATGCTTTGAGCAATAAGTCCCTTTGTGTATCTAACCAACAATCAAACACTTTCTTGAGGAAGAGACACATTAACATGTACCCTCTTTGCAGTCGTGTTTGTTTTCATGTAGCACAAATCCATTACGACACTGGCAAACATAACTTCCTATGGTGTTGATGCACTCGTGTTGGCAGCCACCGTTGTCCTTGGAGCACTCATCCTTGTCTGTGAAGAGGTTGAGGGGAGACAACACAAATAGATACTTTATGAACTGCTCATTAGAAACAGTCAGGTGAATCCACAAAAAAAATGTGCAATGGTGTGTTTGTCCAGAACAAGGTAAACTAAAACTCAGGCCTGACTGTCTCATAATAGCCAGTGCCTCCTGCTTTAGCTGTACCTATTCATTATAAAGCCTGCGTATTTTAACCTATAATTGACAATCCATCAAGCAGACACTAAAAGAAGCTTTTGGGCTCGGCAGTAGCTCCAAGCTGTTTACATTCTGCTAAGCAAAGAAAAACTCAGCCTTTCTAGTTTAAATCATCTGTAGTTTTTACAGTGCTTGGCAGTGCGTTATGGCTTAATGAATCTGGACGTTTCTAAAACACACAAGTTAAGCCAGCATGAGTTAAGATCGACAGGAAACGATCACCCTGTTCATTTTAGACAGACCTACTGATCAAGGCAGTATTTCAGCGAATTATTCCATTTATTTAAGTAGTCACCTGAAAAGGTACAATGGTGTTAGAAGTGAAGCAAAGGTTAGCATAAAATTCTATATAACTCCATGAAATCTGCTTAAAACAGCCAAAAACTGGTTGCAGGCAGAGGGGGAAAGCCAAAACTATATTAGCATTCATTCCAGTGAGTGGCAGTCAGCTCTTATCATTCAGTGTGAGCTGTCATATTAGCAAGGCGTGGGTTGTCCATTTGGTCAAAACTGGCAGACTGTTTCACTCACACTCAATTCCGTGATGTAGATAGCTTTATGACTTCGGCATGCAGAGAATTGAGAGGCGCGGGCAGCTGTTAATTACTGAAACAGATGGAAGCATATCAGGGAGAGAGAGAGAGAAAGAACAGAGAGGGTATAAAAAGTTCACATGATGTGCAGTTTGTTCACTGGCCAGTAACGCAAGTGCAAGGAAAAGTGAATGTATGTATTTAAGGCTGTGGTTGGATTAAACCAGAACATTTGCTTTATTTAGTTATATGGACAAATTAATTGTTGAGAAAATGAAGGAGTGTTATGGCTTTTGAGGTAGAATGACTGGTAATTCCAGAATGAATGCACTACATAAATATATTTACATTCTTAAATATAATTCCTAAAGGATCCTATTCACTCAATATGTTTAAGGGTAATTATTTTATAGCCTCTTGTACAAGGCCGAGAAAAATATGAGCATTGCATTCCTAAACATTAAGAAGGTTAGGAAGCAGAGGTCTTGTGTAGCTGTAATGATTTAAGAGCGAAGATGTATGTTTTTTTTGTGGGAGGATAAGCGCCTTTGGTGCTGCTGGGCAGAAATCAGTCTTCCAGTTTTGAAAGGATTTGAGTCAGTCCCCAAAGTAATGAAAGATCCATCCCCCAAAAACGTGTTAGACGCCAACTAATCAGAGGACATGTGGTCGTACCTCTGAGACTCTCAGAGGCCACCAGTCTGTCAATAATACGTACTCGGCTGGAAAGGGAAACCTGCATCAAGTTCTTGCAAGATTCAAAAATAAATATTTTCTCTTTGCAGGGAGCTTCCTTGTCTGTGAAAGAAAATGTACCAAGATGGCACCAGAGGTGAGTGCATGCTGATTGCTCGAAGACCATTGTGTCATCTGGAACCGGGGCACAACAATATGCTTTACCTGCTTCTGACGGCTCCGGGGCTAAATAATATAACCAAAAAATACTTCAGGTTTTAGTAACCTTTCTTAGACATGGATAAAATATACAAAGTACAGTACCCTTTATTTTTACTATTAACACAATAAACTGTAACACACTATCCCAAATATACACCTGCATTTTCACAACTTCTTATTCAACTCAAACTGTCAAATTATTTAATACTTATTTACATGACTGCAGATGTTTTGCCACCAGCCCCATCTGTGCAGGCAAAACAGATAATCTTATATCTGGAAATTATGCTGTAATAGGAGGACTAAAAGATTTGACAAACATCTAGTTTAAGAAAATATAGCATGCTTTTGAACATTGTGTGGATATGATGGGTTACCTGAGCACAGACACATCCAAGAACATTTTGCTCGGTGCCACAACCCATCCTTTGCGCTGGTTAGATGATCTCAGCCAGATGGTAGTAGAGAATAACCTTAGTAACCTGGCTGGGTGTGGACAAAATCAGTCTCTCCTGATCACCAGCAGTGACCCTAGCTGGAATGTATGTGTCCAAACAACAAAAACTTGCACGTTTATAGAGCCTTTCATGTCATATAACTCTTTGAAGTGCCACACAGAGATGGAATTAAACTTAAGCAAGGTGGTAAATAGGAGGTTGGGAAGGGGAGGGAACCTCAGTGTGGTTAAAGAGGTAGGTATTTGGAACAGTTTTAAAGCAGAGGGAGGGTGTGGTACAGAGGATTTTGGTAGAGTGTTACAAAGAGTGGAGGCATAGGGGTAGAAGTCATAGAATGATACGGAGTGAGGAAAGGATTGGAATCTGCTGTGATTCCCCCCCCGCATAATCAAATCACCTGCTTATACTCAGTACCTCAGCTCACACCTGAAGATTTGGTATTATATATATGCCTTATTACAGTCCAGGAACCTAGGGAACTGTACTTCTAAAACATCAGTACCTTCTGAGGACTCAAATTCTGGTCAACATTCTGTGTCGTGACATTAAAATAGTCCTTGCACTTGATCACAAGATTGATCTCGATCAAGAGGCCCTTTGGCCCATTAAAAATTTAATACACCTTCATGACGTCCCCTATGAGTCATCCTCTTTCAAAACTTAAGAGCTTGTCTAGTCGTTGCTCATAGCTCATTCTTCTAACACTGGGGATCATCCTCATTGCTCTCCTCTACCCTATCTCAAGGGCCTTATTATATTGACAATAATAATAATCCTTGCATATTGACAATAATAATAATCCTTGCATATTGACAATAATAATAATCCTTGCATACTGACAATAATAGTTATCCTTGCATATGACAATGCCAACCTTGAATGACGAATTTCCCCATTATAATCTCTCACCATCAAAGTCAAAACACGGTCACTGCTCAGATTTTTAGTCTTCAGAAAGTGGAGAAATATTTGAACATAGAAATAAGGCTTGGATATATATAATACAAATAATATTCATAGAAACAACACTCACATTGTATTTGGTGTTATACAACAACAAGATTATATTTGTATAGCGCCTTTCACGTCGGGAGGACGTCCCAAGGCGCTGGACCGTGTACAGCATTTCAGACCTGAGCTGGGGTCATGGAGAGAGAAGGGAGGGGGGTGGCCGATGGCATGGTCGAAGAGGAAGGTTTTGAGGTGGGACATGAAAGAGGCTAAGGAGGGGACGAGGCGGAATGAGTAGGGAACGGAATTCCAGAGGTTGAAGGCTCTCTCACCAATGGTAGGGTGGGTGGGTTGGGGGATGTGGAGCAGGCCAGAGCTGGCTGAGCAGAGGGAATGGGCGAGTTGGTAGGGGGTTAGGAGGTCACAGAGGTAGGGTGGGGCGAGGCCATGGAGGGCTTTGTAGGTGAGGACCAGGATCTTGAACTGGATCCTCTGAAGGATAGGGAGCCAATGGAGTTGGGCGAGAATGGGGGAGATGGGGTCACGGAGTTTGGTTCGGGAGAGGACACGGGCTGCAGAGTTCTGGATTATTTGCAGCCTGTCGAGGGAGGAGTTGGGAAGGCCGACAAGCAGGGCATTTGCATAGTCGAGCCTGGAGGTGATGAAGGCATGAACAAGAGTTTCAGCCGCCTGAGGGGTGAGGTAGTGGTGGAGTAGGGCAATGTTACAGAGGTGAGGGAAGGCAGAGTGGGTCATGGCTTGGCTGTGGGGAAGAAAAGACAGTTGAGGGTTGAACAAGACACCTAGGTTCCTGACTGGCTTGGTGAGTTGTAATATGCAACCGTGGAGGTTGATGTTGCCAGTGCCTGAGGTGCTGAGGCGCTGGCGCGAGCCAATCAGGAGGGCCTCAGTCTCGTCCACATGTAACTGTAGGAAGTTTGCCCTGATCCAGGACTTGATGTCCGACAGACAGTCTGTCAGGACAGCAGTGGTTCTGGAGTTGAGGGTGGGGCCAGAAAAATAGAGTTGGGTGTCATCCGCATACATGTGGAAATTGATCCCATGTCTGCGGATAATATCACCAAGGGGGAATGTGTAGATATTAAAGAGAAGAGGGCCAAGGACAGAGCCCTGGGGGACACCAGACATGACAGTGCAGGGGCTGGAGGAGAAACCGTTAGAGGCAACAAAGTGGAGACAGTGAGAGAGATAGGAATCGATCCAGGCAAGGGCAGGTCCCTGAAGATTAAGTAAAGAGGAGAGGCAGTGTATGAGAATGGAGTGGTCCCACAGTGTCGAAGGCGGCAGAGAGGTCGAGGAGGACAAGGAGGCAGAGGGAGCCCTGATCACAGATGTTCAGAATGTCATTTGACTTTGACCAGGGCTGTTTCCGTGCTGTGGGCAGCACAGAAGCTGGATTGGAGGGGTTCAAAGAGGGAATGGCGAGAAAGAAAGGAGCGGAGCTGGGACACAACAACTCATTCCAGGACCTTGGAGAGGAATGGGAGGTTAGAGATGGGACGGTAGCTGGAGAGGAAGGATGGATCCAGGGAAGGTTTTTTTCAAGATGGGGGTGATGACAGCTGTTTTTAGGGGGGTGGGAACTGAACCAGTGAACTAGGAGAGGTTGATGACATCGGACAGGAGAGGGGCCAGAAGGTGGAGCTGGGAGATGAGGAGAGAGGTGGGGATGGGATCAAGGGAGCAGGTGGTGGGTTTGAGTTTGCGAATGATGGTGGTGAGGGAGGAGGGAGGGATAGGGTCGAAGGAGTATAGGGGGGATGGGTGGGGGGTGGGTCACGAGGGAAAGGTGACATGACGGTGGCGGTGGATGGGAAAGAGGTGGCTGAACGTGTCCCCTCGATTTTGGATTCGAGGAAGTCCAGCATCTCCTCACAGTTGGAGTTTGAGGAGAGGAAGGGTGAGGCATGGGAAGGTAGATGGAGGAGACAGTTATAATACACAAATAATACAGTAAACAGTGAGTCAATATGGCCTAAAGACCTTCCTTTTTGATCGTGCTTATGGTCACCTCCCCCCCACCTCCACTTGGCTCGTTGTCAAGGACAAGCGCTCCAGGACACTAGCCAGTGTGAAGGCCACTATATAAATGCAAGTTGTTGTTGTTATTGCACTGTAGTTCTGTTGATTTTGTTACAGTGAAGAAAAACAGTGCATCAGATTTAAATAATAATAATAATAATAATAATCCTTGCATTTGATATAGCGCTTTTCACGTCGGGAGGACGTCCCAAAGCGCTTCACAGAATATACTGTAAAGTGAATTGACTGTATATTTGTGGGCGAACGCGGCAGCCAATTGCGCACAGCAATGTCCCACAAACAGTCGTAGATAAATAAATAGAAATAAATAAATGTAAATAGAACAAGTATAGTCATTACTGGATTATACATTGTCCTAACAGCATCCAGAGGATTATAGTTAAGTGATGTCCAGGGAGATTTCCAAAGTCTTCCAAAAGGGAACGATTAACACTTTATTTGCTCTTAAAACTTGAGATGAACTATACTGCACAACATTTTCCTTTTTATACTATTATTTCCACTCATAAAAGCACAGAAAGAAGCTTTACAATGGAACTAATGAAAAATTGCAGTGAGCATAGTGATAATCTCAGTGATGCCACATCATATGCACTACATATACAACCTTGAAATGTTCAAACCTATTGGCCAGCTGTAGCCTTTTTCTGTCGGATCTGGGCCTCAGTGCTGAATGCAGGCCAGCCCACAAATTCCTGTTGTAATTATCTTTTTTCACATGAAGTAGATCATTTCTGTGCCTATGTGCACTGTGCACCACCTTCCACTTTTATATTATAATCGAATAATTCAGCATTTTATAATAAAAAATTTTTTTTTATCAATTGAATGTCTGACACAAATTGAAAACCCTTAGCCAAGTTTAAGAAAATACAAACCAACTCTCATTCAGATAGTCTTAAGTTTAGTGAAGGGTTTCTACTTGTGTTAGACTCCTGGCTGACTAAAACAGAAACAGACTGATCATTCTGTACATGTTCACCAGCTAGATTTGTAGATTCTCCTGTGTTTGGAATAGAATGTGCACTCTTTCCCCAGAAAGTATTAAGTGCAGGTTCCCAAGAGCCAAGTATTGGGAACCGCAGAGTCCGATTTGGCGAATTGCTGGGTTTTCACCAACTAAAATGGTATAGTTTGCCTGTGCACTAAATAGCAACATTTGATCCTCCTGAACTGCAATGAAGTTTTGATCTTGCATTTACATTGCTGACACTAAACAGAATCTATATTCCTGGTCTAATGTATGTAATAAATCTAGCTCTTAGAAAATATCTCCTTATGGTTTTTTACTTTTCACATCTAATTTATGATTCCAGTTTTCAATGTCTGAAATTTGCACTGATGCATCGCAAGGTAATAATAATAAATAATAATCCTTGCATTTGATATAATGCTTTTCAGGTCTTCTAGACGTCTCAAAGCGCTTCACCGAATATACTGTAAAGTGAATTGACTGTATATTTGCGGGTGAAACGCGACAGCCAATTGTGCACAGCAATGTCCCACAAACAGTTGTGGATTGAAATGACCAATTTATTCTAGTTTTTTTTTCTTGAGGGATTATTATCAGGCGTGTGGAGTAAGGAAACTTGTCCAAGGTTTCACCCTGCCGGGAATCGAACCCAGGTCTCTCGCTTGTGAGGTGAATGCTCTAACCACTGAGCTACAGGACTCCACAGTACTTTCTAAAAGACTAATTCATTCAACCAGAAACTTTTTTTCCTAGTCCACGTGATATTTGACACTTTAATAACTGTAAACAGATTTATTTTAACTCTATACCTGATACATATTTGGTAATCTGCTCACTGGATCATTTATTGAGAAATACATTCCAATGCAAACCAAATCTGTCTTCAGACAAAAAATAGTGATGCATGATAGTCATGTCAACTCTATGGAATGGAACCTATCTGTTTTGGGTGTAAAATGATGAGAAGGAATGTAGAAAAATACAGGAAGATATGTTAGCTGAGCAGGCAGGATCGTGGCAAATAGATTTCAATACAGAAAAATGCAAAGTAGTGTATTTTGGAAAGAAGAGAAGGGAAGTATCTCCTCAATAGTAATATTATTAATGGAGTGGAGGAGACCGAGAAGTACGGATGCATAGTCTTTAAATGTAGGGATGAAACCAGTTAAAAACACAAATGGAATTCTTGTTTTTATTACAGGATATTGAATTCATGAGCAAGACAGTAATGTTAAATTTGCACGAGATAATAGTGCAAAAAGTAAGTCTACCGTTGGATGTGAAATAACAGAAAAAAGAAGCAGGGGATACATTGGAGATTTAATAGGATGATACTCAGAATAGAAATTATAGTTGGGGCAAGTTACACTGCAACAAAGAAGGTTAAAGGGAGATTTAATAGTGGTTTCAAAATTGTGAATAGTTTTGATAGGAAAATTAGAGAAAGGTTATTTCCAATGACCAGTGATCAGTAATAAGAGATAATAAATTGAATGTTATTAATATACATTTTCTTCCCAGAGGATAGTTAGAATATTTAATGCATTATCACAAAGGGGAGTTTAATCCACTTTAAAGAGAGTTGGAAAAATATTTGAAGAAAAATAACTTTAACAAAAGGGTGTGGGAAAAAAGCAGGGGAGTGGGATTATAGTATATAACTCCATTAGGAATAATAATAATCCTTGCATTTGATATAGTGCTTTTCACGTCTTCTCGACTTCTCAATGCGCTCCACAGAATAGACTGTAAAGTGAATTGACCGTATATTTGTGGGCGAAAAGCAGCAGCCAATTGCGCACAGCTATTATATTATTATAATATATTATATTATTATTATAGAATAGGCAAGTTACTGCATCAGCACAGAAACGATGGGTCGAATAGCTTCCTCCTGTACTGTAAACATTCTCTAATCCTAAATCTGATAATGATCTGGAAGCACGGTTATGTGTGTCATATTAATTAATATATGTAGCTAAAATGGAACCACTGCAAATTTTACTTATTTATGATGTTTCAGTCAAAGTAATCATACCCACGTATTAAATCACTGGTCCCAAATATTGTATCACATAACTATGCTATATCACATAACACATATGGAAACCTTCTGTTTGACACAAAAACATGAAATTAGAAGGATCAATGTAAAATGGAGTAGGTTAATAGCTTTAACCCTTGAATGTCCAAATATTTTACACGTTACAATGTTTCAAATGGGTCATAGGGAATCCGACCTAAAATCAACTCCACTCTGAAATAAGCCTTTACAGAGTTGAGTTGTCAGAATGTGGGCTAGGATTGCAGAAGCCAAATATAAACAGCAATGTAATATCCCAAAAAAGTCTCCCAAGAGACAACAAATTCTAAACTTTTTTTGCAGAAAAGTAAATCTGATAATTTTGTCACAAGTGTAATTACATCACAACAGGTGTCAACTCAGTATCTGCTGTTCTGCTTCATTCAGTTCCGAGCATGATTCAGAAAGTCAAAATCCAATTGACATGCAAACTGGTTTATTCAATCAGATCACTTGTCTAAAGAAAAGTTTGGATCAGTGCAAGTAATTGGCTTCAATTACTTGGGGGTGAATCCTAACCCTTATTCTGAAAGCTACTCTGTATTGGAGTCTTCCAGAGTGGGCATTTCTGAATAATTATTTGGGTAGCACTAGGAGGAGATTTTGAAGTGAGGAGGTTTTATGAAAATGCAAGTTCATTTTGTTTATGGTACACTGTACATGTGTATGAAACTCCCTTGTAATACACAGGAAAATATAATGGACCATTTTAGTAGTGCTATTAAAAGAAGTGAGCAATATTCTCCTGTGTAAAGTACAACTGCACTGAGACGCTGCTATTATCACAAAATGCCAGGCCACAGTAGAATTCTTCTGAAAACTGTCAACAAATAGAACTGTAGAAGCAGAGTATATACCTCATTTTGTAAAAATAGCTAATACTTTTTCAGCCAGGTGGGTGCTTGAACATACCACCACCACATCACCACGCTTAAGAGTATCCAAAAGAGATTGAGAGTTCCACATATATATGCCACCTACTCATGGAAATTTCCCAGTGTTTGGAATGGAGTGCACACCCTCTCCATGAGAAACTCGCACGGTTTACCCAATTCCGGTGAGAATTAGGCACAAGTTGCTGAAAGCCCAGGCTTGGGAATCCCAGAATGTGCGTTGAGATATTGCTGGAAGTTAAGCAGCTAAAACCACATATTCAGCCAATGTAAAGCATTGTTTGGCAAGATTACTACCAGATATTAGTCAGTTAAAATGTATGCACCTAATATCATTGTTCAAGTGATGTTCAGAATCTTTCAACTTAACAGTTTATAACATCACAGAAGTTGCTAGGAACATGCAGCAGGTTCGTTAATGTTTCAGGTCTATGACCGTTTGTCAGAACGTTCTGACAAAAGTCATAGACCTGAAATGTTAACTCATTTTCCTATCTCCATAAATGCTGCCTGACCTGCTCTGTGTTCCCAGCGACTTTTGTTTTTATTTCAGATTTCCAGCATCTGCAGTATTTTGCTTTTAGTTGATAACATCACGCTTGAATGTTTTGATCTCTTGGCTTGACACTCAATCTAATAAATATAGGGCACAAGCACATTTTAATATGCTGCTCAAAAAATGTTCTTCAGATACATTATACAGGGTCTATGAATGCTTGATAATGCATGTATTTTGGGGAGAAGGGGGTAAATAAAACACACACACCTGAAAGAAAGTGGGCTTTGAATCCTTTTTTTGAAACAGTATTGTCTGATTTGAACTCGATCCTCATGTTGTTGTATCGGGATGTTATAACTTCAGGCACTTCCGTACCGCAAAACTTGCCATGAAGCTTGGAATCGGATGAAAGGCCACTCCGGATCTCCACATAATCGTACTTGCATATCTGGTACAAAGCATACATAACCTCAGTTACAAAAGGCATATATGCTATACCGACAGTTGTGAATTAGCTTCGCAGCCTGGTTTTTATCCTCTCTACTTTTGAATGCATTCAGAATTGCTGGAAGTGTGCAGATAGAGAATGCATTATGAAGACCAATGGAATGTGAATTATATCCTACTAGTGGGCTAACCTGATAACTCATAACCAACGAAGGTCAGTACCAAAGGAGAACATCAATCATATCAGAGGGTAAGCGAAAAAAAGGAGAGAAAATTGGCGCAATAAAGAGAAATGAATCAATTTTTGCTGATTTACAATCGCTGTCACCGTGTATTCACAGATACAATTCCTCAGCCAGGTGTTTGGAATTATGTGATGTTGAGAAATTCAGCTTGTTATTATGAATCCTTTCTCACCAAGTAGTGGATGCTTCTTCCTGCAGTGAATTTGTGACATATTTTAGACTTGCACAAATGCTCCTCATCTCCATGAGGAATATAAGGAATACTGTATTACCATTTAGGTGATTTTCCTAAAAGGTACACTACATTTTTCCCAATTGAAATCCATTTACAATATTACAACTTATGTACAACTTATTTCAGAGATCAAATATATGCTCATCTCAAGATGTGCAATGATCCATACAATTTATTAATAATACTTGTATTTTGTATAGCGCCTTTCACCTCGGGAAGACGTCTCAAAGTGCTTCACAGGATATACTGCAAAGTGGAGCAACTGTATAGTTGTAGGCAAACACGGCAATCCAATTGCGCACAGCAAAGTCTCAAAGCAACCATAAAATGAATGATCAATTTTATTTGGGGGATTGTTGGCCAGGACAATGGGAGAAACTCCCTTCTCTTTTTAAATAGTGCATTGGATCTTTAATGTCCACCTGAACAGGCAGATGAGATCTTGATCTCTGAAGGATGGGACCTCCGATAATACAACTAACCCCCAGCATTATATTTGACTGTCAGGTTAGACTATGTGAGTTTAAGTCTTGAAGTAGGGCTTGTTTCCACAAACTTCTGTCTCATGAGCGACAGTGATATCACTGAGCTAGGCTGACGCATATTGAATACAAAATGCAAATGATTTAAAAACCTCACAGAATTTGTTTGCACTATGAACAAACTGCCAATGAATGAGACTAATATGAATGATAAATACTGTACTATATTGTCTAATATACTATAATATATAGTATACTAATAATAAGTTTGGAAGTCATCATTTAAAGACCTGAACAGCATAGGCTCAGCTTTCTGTTATTAATTAAATAACTGCAGATATGTTATTAGACCCAATAATACAGCTAGCCCCACACAATATAATCACAGTTTTTACCAAACACCTTCCCACGCAGGGACCTTTTAGCCCCTCAGGCAATGTTTTTGTTATAATTTCCCAGAAGGCTCAAATGCTCACGTCAGCTTTAATGGCTTATCGCCAACTCTTTCATGATCAAGCAACAAGCCCAGTGCAAGGGAGTAGCAACTATATTAAATGTTCAGTGTGGACACAACTATATTGGCAGACTGGCCTTTCATTCCCTCACTTTACTGTTTGAATTGCAGTGCAGCAAATGTGGCATAATGACAGTACCTGAAAAAACAGGATTATGTGATTAATCAACATCTGTTTTAAAACTCTCTGAGTCTGCATTCAAGAACTTTCTTACAAATTAGGTCTGACAGTCGAATGTTATTTTTGTTTGCAAAGGTCACTGGGGGTCATTCTGCTCCATGGGCTGAATAAAGTACATCATATCTCTCAATGTGCAAGGTATGCAGTCGCTCCACATAAACAACAGGTTCAGTATATATTTATTTCAATGATGTGGTGACCCATAATTGTCCTTGGAAAGTAAAAAGGTTTGAAGATCATAATGTGCTGAAGGACTTGATGGCTGCTATTCTCTTTATAAACTGGCAAAAAAATTGATCATTCACTTCATGGTTGTCTGTATAATATTGCTGAACTGACTGTTGTGCTCACCAAAAATACATAATCACTACACTTTGCAGTATTTCCTGTGAAGTGCTTTAAGATATACTCCTGATGTTAAAGGTGCTATATCAAATCTAAGGATTATTATTTTAAAAGTCTGTGAATTTACAGACAAGAGAAAGCAGCCTCTGATCTGCCAACAAGCCAATTAAAACCAGATAGAATCTCCACTAGAAAGTCACAACAGACTAATAATTGTATCAGTACAGAACATGCATTTTCAGTTATTTAATACAATCATGACCATGATATAATCCTGACAAAATCCTTCTCAAATCTTTAAGATACTGATGCATAATCTATAGTTCAAACTAAGTAAAAATTGGAAATAATAATAAATAATAATATCCTTGCATTTGATATAGTGCCTTATCACGTCTTCAAATGCTTCACAGAATATACTGTAAAGTGAATTTACTGTATATTTTGTGGGCCAATCTACTGAATTAATTCACAGATTGTTAAAGGAAGCTACCTATTTATTTTGTTCTACAGTTCACCCCGTTAATAAGACAAATAAAAACATTTACTATTTACGTTTAGGTTGGGTAAACTGGTTTTAGTGCACTGCTAACCTTAACAAAAGTCCTGCCAGTGTGCAATATGACATAATAGAATGGAAGGTTTGTAGTTGGATGCCGAGTCTGTGCTGATATCAGTATGGAATGAAGGAATAAATTCAATGAACAATTCAATCAATCAATCAATCAAAGTGATTAAGATGCCACAATTGGCTTCAGTATCTTTGGACAGGTGTTTGGGGGTAGGTGGGTTGAGGAATCAGACAAAGGGATCCCATTTCTTGTTGCTTTCCAATGACCTTTCCAGGAAAATGTATATAAGGCTCTGAACTTGGACCTGATTGATGTCATAGAGCTGCAAACACTACTTAGGTCCAGGGTTAAACTTGGGGTCATTAGAGTGAAGTACTGCAGGGCAGCTGTAAAATTATACTCCAGTGTGGTTTAGTTGTTTCAATAGATGGGGCAGGGGAAGGGCAATTGGAAGGATGAGAACCTGTATTAAAAATGTACAGTAAAAACTGTTGTTTTTAACAGTGCAAAGGATTTCATCTGATCTATTAAAATTGTTCGAACAAAATTGCAAAAATTAAACAATGTTACATTATTCTATGTATTACGCACACAATTAAAATGATCCAAGTTGGCAATTAACTGTTTGAATAAACCTCAGCAGGATTTGGACAGTAATATACTGTGGAGAATTTAATCATCTATGCATACAAATCTGTTGTTGTTGTGCATACTTGGGATCTCCTTTACAATCCAATTCCCTTGTGAAACTGCCCACATAATCTGCCTTCACTGCTTATCTATGATGTTTCGCATACACACACTGCAGTGAACCTTAGTGATGAAAATAACTGTCTGATACACTCATTAATGCAAAATGCAATTTGAAGACATTGTCCAATTGTGGATCTGTTCTGCCTCCCCCTCCAACACCGCATCACAGTGACTGGGTCTAAGGTATTACATAATATAATGCCAACCCAACAATCTGATGGCTAGCAGAGTACCAGCTTAATACTGATATTATTGTCTAAAGTTATTGACTGGCTTCAGTTTTCAATGATATGTTAATTAACACATGTGAAAGCTGCCACTTTCATTCCTCAGTGTTGTTCTAAATATAAAGCCAAATATGCTGTGCTACAAGGATTTGATTGAAATTATGAATTTGCATTTAGTGACCAATCTGTACTTACGTCATTGCCTTCTAATTCAAAAAATTCAAACTGCATCGAGATTCTGTATTGGGTCGGAGCCACAACCTGCCACACACAGTTTTTATTTGGAGGGTATTCTTTAGGCCAGCCTGGTGTGGTGATCGTTCCATTTAACTTGGTTAGGAGTCCTCCGCATGCAGCTAAAAATAGAAAGGTTGAATTTCAAAGTGGAATTCAAAAGGATCTGTCCACATAAAGGAAATAGAGGTATAAAGGAGAGGGGAATAGGAGGGGCTGGAGGCTTGTGCGGAGTACAAACAACTGCACTGATGAGTTAGGCCAAATGGCCTGTTTCTGTGCATATCACTCTCTGTAACTTTATGTAACAATGATAACTCTCAAACAATATCAATAACAACAACAAAATGACATTTGTATAGCACCTTTCACGTCGGGAAGACGTCCCAAGATGCTGAACAGACAGAGTTACAGACCCGACCTGGGAGTCGGGGTGGGGGAGGGTGGAGGGCGGGGGGTGAAGTCGGAGGGCAGTGGGGGAAAGTCGGAGGACAGTGGGAGAAGCGGAGAGTTCGAAAGCACAGTCGAAGAAGAGGGACTTGAGATGAGTCTTGAAGGTGGAAAGGGAGGGGGCGAGGTGGAGCGACTGCGGGATGGCTTTCCAGAGGGTGGGGGCAGAGTGGTGGAAGGTCCGCCCACCATTACTGGAGAGAGCAAGACGGGGGACGCCCGCTGAGTGGAGAGAGAGAACAGGGTGGTAGGGGGGAGCAAGAGCATGGAGGGCTTTGAAGGTGAGGACCAGGATCTTGAACTGTATCCTCTGTGTGATGGGAAGCCAGTGGTGTTGGACGAGGATGGGGGTGATAGGGTCATAGAGCCTGGTGTGGGAGAGAACACGGGCTGCAGAGCTCTGGATGATCTGCAGCTGTGGAGGGAGGAGTTGGGGAGGCCGACGAGCAGTGAGTTTGCATGATCGAGCCAACGTAATGAAGGCGTTTATGAGGGTTTCGGGGGCCTGAGGTGTGAGACAGTGGTGGAGCCGGCTGATGTTGCAGAGGTGGCGGAAGACAGGGCAGGTCATGGCGCAAGTAGAAAGGATAGTTGAGGATCAAACAAGACCCCAAGGTTCTGGACTGACTTAGTAAGGTGGAGTGTGCAACCACGGATGATGATGCTGTCAGCACCTGAGGTGAGGAGGTACTGATGGGAGCCAATCAAAATAGCCTCGGTCTTGTGGATGTTCAGTTGAAGAAAGTTAGCTCTTATCCAGGACTTGATGTCTGTCAGACATTCTGCCAGGACAGCAGTGGTTCTCGAGTCAAGGGTGGAGGCAGAGAGGTACAATTGGGTGTCATCCGCAGACATGTGAAAATTAACCCCATGTCTGCGGATGATGTCACCAAGAGAGAGCATACTGATATTGAAGAGGAGGGGACCAAGACCAGAGTTCTGAGGAACGCCGCACGAGGCGGTGAGGGGGCTAGAGGAGAAACCATTTGGGGAGTGAAGTGCAGGCGGTGTGAGAGTTATGACCTGAACCAGTCAAGGACAGTGCCGTGGAGTTGAGGTGAGAGGAGAGGCGATGGATGAGGACAGAGTGGTCGATGGTGTCGAAAGCAGCAGAGAGGTCAAGGAGGATAAGGAGGCAGAGGGAGTCCTGGTCACAGATGGACAGAATGTCATTCGCCACTTTGACCAGGGCTGGTTCTGTGCTGGGGCGGGGCACGGAAACCCGATTGGAGGGGTTCAAGAAGGGAGTGGCGGGATAGGAAGAGCGATGCTGAGAAGTAACAACTCATTCCAGGGCATTGGAGAGGAAGGGGAGGTTGGAGATGGGGCGGTAATTAGGGAGTAGAGAAGGTTCCAGGGAAGGTTTTTTAAGGATAGGAATGATAACAGCCTTTTTTAATGGGGTGGGAACAGTACCAGAGGACAGGGAAATGTTTACTATGTCAATGAATAAGCATTTATTTAACCCGATTATACAACAACAACAAGATTCCATTTATTGAGCGCCTTTCACGTCGGGAGGACGTCCCAAGGCGCTGGAAAGTTGGGTCAGGACCCGAGCAAGGGGGAAATGGTCAGGGTGAGGGGAGGGAAGGGAGGGAGCGAGGAGGGGGTAGAAAGTCGAGAGGGGAGCTGAAGGCACGGTCAAAGAGAAAGGTCTTGAGACCGGCCTTGAAGGAGGAAAGAGAGGAGGCGGCGAAGGCACTGGGGGATAGAGTTCCAGAGCCTCGGGGCTGAGAGGCTGAAGGCCCGGCCGCCGATGGTAGGGCGGTTGGGGCGGGGGATGTGGAGCAGACCGGAGCCAGCGGAACGGAGGGTACGGGCAGGTAAGTAGGGGGATAGTAGGTCGGAGAGGTAGGAGGGAGCAAGGCCGTGAATGGCCTTGTAGGTGAGGATGAGGATCTTGAATTCGACATGAACTAGCAAAAATTTGTGTTCTATAAAGAGGTTATGAAAAGATCACTATTGTTAGCCACCAGTTCATAATATGCTCAAAAGCCCCTTGATAAATGGGCACTGTAATTTTTAACTTGAGCATTACTATTTAGTAGCCTTTACCTTCACAGCTCTTCTTGTCTGCTGCAAGCTCGTAGCCTGGATCGCAAGTGCATTTATAACTGCCCAAAGTGTTCAAACATCGTTGCTCGCAACCTCCGTTGTCAGGCCTGGCACATTCATCCTCCTCTGTAGGGAGAGTAAAGAAATGACAACCTTTATCATAAACCTACCTCTGCATTTTTGTCTACGAAGAATGTTTCGTATGGGATTGACAACTTAACGCTGTTTTCGAAGGAAGTTGGTTAGACCATTATTCACCTTGTAAATGATCCAATCAATACAAAAACAGTGTACATTTATATAACACCCTTTAAGTGGGGCAGCATGGTTGGATGTTTTGTTGGGAAAACAGAACAACAAAAATTACATTTGTATAAACCTGTCACATTGTGACAATGTCCCAAGACGCTGGACTGTCAGTGTTTCGGACGTGAGCTGCGGGTCGGAATTGGGGAGGGTGGAGGGGGAAGGAGGGTGACCAAAGGCATGGTTGAAAAGGAGGGTCTTGAGACGGGTTTTGAAGGAGTCAAGGCAGGGGGAGCGGCAGAGGAACTGTACGATGGAGTTCCAGAGAGTCGGTCTGAGTGGCTGAAGGCCTGCCCGTCAATGATGGGGTGGGCGAGGCGGGGTACGTGAAGCAGGCCAGAGCCCACTGAGTGGAGGGAGCGGGCAAGTTTGCAGGGGTTTAGGTCACAGAGGGGGGAGCAAAGCCATGGAGGACTTTGAAGGTGCGGACCAGGATCTTGAACTTTATCCTCTGAGCGATGGGAAGCCAGTGGAGCCGGGCGAGGATGGGAGTGATAGGATCGTGATGAAAAGCATTGAGTGCAAGTGTTTTTTGATCCCTGTGTCTGCTGTACTTCCTCGGTTTACTGCTTAGTGGTTATCTGCTAAAACGCTGTGTAACATGGGTGAAAACACCGGATTTCAGCATCATGGAAACATAGCAATATTATAGGAGAGGGGAGCTGTCAATTGTGGTCAGCTCAACCAATTGAAATAACCACTCCGGTCAGCAGAAGAGAACAAGCTCAACCAATAACAAATAGCTCCAACGGGGCACATAGTGACAGAGGGCAAGCAGCATCCAACCATGTTCTGGATGGAGAGCAGGGGCGGGCCTGGTGCATTTTGTGAAAGAAAAATAAAAAGACTGCAAAGTTTCACACTGAATGGTAATAGATGTTTGTTAAGTAAATACACATGTAAACATATATGAGAAGTACAGTTACCTGTATTGTGTGAGTTTATGTACTAAAATTAGTGTATGTGGCTAAAATGGTGTTGCCATATAACATATAAATTGGTGTGTGGAGTAAGGAAACTTGCCTAAGGTTTCACCCCGCTCAGGAATCAAAATTGGGTCCACTCGCTTGCGAGGCGAGTACGCTAACCACTATGCTACAGGACTCCACAGAGCTAAGTGGGTTTCAGGCCATTCATTCTTGACCCACCATTCATTTGCTTCATTTACATAGAAGCAACTGATGGGCCATTAACAGATTGCGGAATCATGGAAAGGGCATGAAAGGGTTGTTAGTCACAGGTAATCCGAGGATGGAGTAAGATATGCAAGCCCTTTTTATCTCTTAAAAAGCAATTTAGCAGAGGAAATTCAATGGTTTAGATTGGTTCTTGAAACTGTACCAATCACCAGGAGATTGAGGATGATTGGAAATCATGAAGAAGGTCATCTGTGGGATATTTCCTCAACACATCTGTTGCAAAATAAATTGATGTGATAGAGATTGAAGGTTTATGTTTATTGCGAACAAAAGCAATATAATTTTATAGGATTACGTGGGTCCAATTTTCCCTTTGTGGACACAAACAGAAAATCAAATACTGCTGTTCCGACTTATTATGATGTGGCGAAGTATCTTCTTCCCACTGGCTGCAGTGCTTCAGAAAAGGCATGTTGGGTAAGATTTAACTTATGATTTGACAAACTCAGTGGTTATTTCATATACTCTGGTGGAAAAGGCAGCTACACACTAATATATGGCATTTTTTGAAAATTAGAACAAAAAATATTATTGAGGAAGGAGGTGTCAAGGTCTCAAGCTGTCAAGAATCAACATGGCTTTTCTGTACGCCACATACCCTGGAATAAATGGCTGTAATTAGGACACGAGTCCAGGAAAATCATCATCCTGGCAGCTTCATGGCTTTACAAAAGGGAAGTAATGCTTAACTAATCTTTTAGAGTTTTTTGAAAATGTATCTAGCAGGTTAGATAGGGGGGAACCATCTACTAGATGTAGTATATTTAGATTTTAAAAAGGCATTTGACAAAGTGCCACACAAAAGGCTATTGCACAAGGTTAAGGCCCACGGGATTAATGGGAATATATTAGCATGGATTGAAAAGTGGCTAACGGGTAGAAAACAGAGAGTAGGGATACACGGGTCATTCTCGAATTGGCAGGATGTGACTAATGGAGTGGCACAATGATCAGTGCTTGGGCCTCAGCTATTTACAATTTACATCAATGATCTAGACGAGGACATTGAATGTAACGTATCTAAATTCGCGGATGACACCAAACTAGGAAAAGCAAGCTCTGAGGATGATGCAAAACAATTGCAACGGGATATAGATAGGCTAGGGGAGTGGGCGAGTAGGTGGCAGATGGAATTTAATGTGGGGAAGTGTGAAGTTATTCACCTAGGTAGAAAAAATAGAAAANCAGATTATTTTCTAGAGGGGGAGAGATTAGATAGTGTTAGTGTTCAGAGGGATTTGGGTATCCTTGTATACCAGTCTCAAAAAGTTAGTTTGCAGGTGCAGCAAGCAACTAAGAAGGCGAACGGCATGTTAGTGTTCATTGCAAAAGGTTTAGAGTACAAGAGTAGGGAAGTCTTGCTGCAACTGTATAGGGTCTTGGTGAGACCGCACCTAGAGTATTGTGAGCAGTTTTGGTCTCCTTCTTTAAAAAAGGACATACTTGCCCTAGAGGGGGTGCAGCGTAGATTCACCAGGTTAGTTCCTGGGATGAGGGGACTGACCTATGAGGATAGGCTGAATAAACTAGGGCTGTATTCTCTAGAGTACAGAAGAATTAGGGGAGATTTTATTGAAACATATAAGATTCTTAAAGGGCTGGATAAAGTAGACACCGAGGGACTGTTTCCCCTAGTAGGAGAATCTATAACCAGGGGTCACAGTCTTAAAATTAAGGGTCAGCCTTTTAGAACAGAGTTGAGGAAACATTTCTTCACTCAGAGGGTAGTGAATTTATGGAGTTCACTACCCCAGAAGGCTGTAGATGCTCAGTCCTTGAACATCTTCAAGGCTGAGACTGATAGATTTTTAAAAAAGAGGGATTAGGGGATATGGGGATAGGCAGGTAATTAGAGTTAGGTCTTAAATTCAGCCATAGTCTTATCAAATGGCGGGGCAGGCTCGAGGGGCCAAATGGCCTACTCCTGCTCCTAATTCTTATGTTCTTATATTCTTATTTATAAAATGTCACTTCAAATTGTCTTATCACAAGATCAAACAAGATGACAAGATTGGATTGGATCTCTATCATCTTCCCATCACAGCATCAAACTGTTTTGTAATGAGCCCAGTGTGATATCATTCAAATTCCCGTGATTCCCCACACATACATGAACCCAAACCCCACACCCACAATCATATTCCCAAACACACACAGACACACCCATAAAGGCAAACAAACATACAGGAAAATATAAACCTAACGACACACTGACAAACACACACACAGACACTCACACACAAAAATACATCCAAAGGTACACATAGACAAACATACAAAAACAAACACATCAACAGCAAAAATACACATATATCAATCAGCCTTCATATGAATGAAATGACAATTTTCTTTTGGAATGGTAAAATAGGATAAAAACAAAGACAAAAGGGTCCAATAAAGTTAGCCCTATCTGTAAACTCCAGAATGTATTTAGGGAAATGAAATTAAAATCTGCTCTCTTTCCTCGCAGGAGTTATTCATTGCCAGGCAACCAATAGGTGGGACGTGATACAATTCCATGGTGACTACGAATGCTATTCCACAATTGGTGAATAAGAATTCCTGCTGAGCTGTGTTGTAGATCTACCCTACAACGTAACATATGAGGTGCTCAAGCTAACAACCTGGTGGCTACTGCTTACAGCAGTCAAAGACAAGCAAGCTAAAGTGATAGGCAGCACTTGGAGTTAATTGGGCTTTAATACAAACATGCACTTTATGTCATATGGACCAATGTTTAATCTGGCTGTATCTTATGCTTATACACTCATTCATTGTTATCGGCTGTTCATGGCACATTGGTGTGCACAAATTGGCTGCCACATTTGGCTATAAAAATACACAGCCGCTATGCTTTACAGTGCATCTCGTGAAGAGCTTTGAGATGTCCTTCCAATGTGAAAGGGCCTACATCAAATCCAACGATTTGATATTATTATTCAGTCAATCCACATTTTGATGTCTTTAAAGCAAACTCTAAAGCACTGTCAACAACAACAACTTGCACTTATATAGCACCCTCCACACAGGGCAGCGTCTCAGAGAGCTTAACAATGGTGGAGCCTGACTCCAAGCCGGGGGTGTTTGGGCGGAGGTGACAGTAAGCACGGTCAAAAAGGAAGGTCTTAAGGCACGACTTGAAAAAGGGTAGAGAGGGGGCAAGGCAAAGGGATTGAGGGAGAGTGTTCCAAAGTTTCGGGGATTGGTGGCTGAAAGCGCCACTTCAAATGGTGGAATTGGAGGGTGCGAGGAACAAGCAGGAGGCCAGTGCCAGTCGAGCGGAGGAGCCGAGTGGTGGATTGGGAAGTGAGGAGGTCGGAGAGTAGGGAGGTGCCAGGGAGTGAAGGCATTTGAACACAAGTGTGAGGATCTTGAAGTCGATCCGTTTAGTGATGGGGTGCCAGTGGAGCCTGGCCAGAACTAGTGAGCTAGGGGTACAAAGTTTGGTCCGGGTAAATATGGACCAAACATCAGTTGCAGTGGCCATCCATGACAAAGTGATGAAGTATGTTATTTTGTATCAACATAAAAGAGTGCTCTTCCGAAGGTCACTAAGTTTAAAGGTCGTGGTGTTATAAACACTCATATTATATATAGACTTAAAGCAATTTTATATATATATATATATATATATATATAAATGTTCCATCCTCTGGAGAATTCACCCCTACCCTCTGGATCTAGGATAAATCTGTCAGCAGTGCTGACAAGAATAAGGTTCTTTAAAAGGATGGGATGCGTAATTAAGAATCTATTTAAACTTAATTTTCATCATTGTTGAAATAGTTTCCGTAGCTCGTAAAATTCTCTCTTTAAAAATACAACACAAATTGCAACAGACAAAGTGCAATCCCAACAGACAAGAGCGAAAAGCTATAATACAGTCATGACTGGTAAAGCTCCCGCCTTCTGTGCAGAAACTGTCTATCTTTCTAGGATCAGAATAAAGATGTGAAAACTCCACAATAGTTTACAAATCTGATTTCAGCCATGCTTCTGTCTCCAAAATAAACAATAATAATAATTCTTGGATTTGATATAGCGCCTTATCACATCTTCGAGAAGTCTCAAAACGCTTCACAGAATATACTGTAAAGTGAATTTTACTGTATCTTTTGTGGGCGAAATGCAGCAGCCAATTGCGCACAGCAGTGTCCCACAAATAGTCGTGGACTGAAGCGACCAATTTATTATTATTATTTTTTTGAAGAAATTATTACCAAAACAATCACTACTCTTGACAGTATATCCTATGAAGCACTTTGAGATGTCCTCCCAACTTGAAAGGCACTGTATCAAATCTGAGGATTGTTATGAAATTTGCCTGCAGCACTCTCTTAATATAGTAGGATACATGTCTTTCATGTCAGTGGATGTCTCAAAGAGGATCGTGAAGGGTGTTATATAAATACAGATCATTGTTGTTATTGTTCTAGGCTCTTGTAGGCTGACAGCCTGAAATTTCCCTATATTTCTCCACAGCACTAATATCTCTATGAGTTAGGTGGGAATAGTTATTTTACATGACAGCACAAAGATTGGACAGAATTTGCTGGACTTTATCGGTTTGTTGATAATAATTAAAAAAACTTGCATTCAATGGCATTCACCTTATCATATCGTCAAGCGATCTCAAGGAGCTTCACAGGATTTTACTGTGAAGAGTAGGGGCTGTGTGTTTTGTAGGAAAATGTGGCAGCCAATTTGTGCACAACAATGTCCTACAAATATCCAATGAAGTGAATGTTCAACTATATTTGGGGATTGTTGCCAGGATACTCCCTAACTCCCTTAGTGAGGATTTCGGAATCTCAACTGTGTTTGTACCTTTAAAGAAATTTGCAGCAAATCCTGCTTTATTAACTGTTCCATCGGAAACAAACTTCATCCACAAGGTATTAGACGTGGATTTTATGTCCTCTGGTTTGTCGTAGCCACAGAAGCGCCCAATCATAGGACTATTTTCACTGCTGCCATCTCGTACTTCTAGATAGTCATAGGCACAATTGTCATGTCTCTCAATCTAGGACAAAATAAAGAAAACATTTTACTTTTTTTACACAAGGAAAACAGGACCTAATATGAATTCAAAAGACCAAATAGACACAAAAACATATATATAATATATAAATTTTATTTATATAGATGCAGAAATTAAAAGGCCTTCACGCCGGGCGGCGTCCCAAGGCACTTAACAATGGTGGAGCCTGATACTGAGCCAGGGGGAGGGGGAAGGTGACCATAGGCATAGTCGAAGAGGAAGGTCTTCAGTTGCAACCTGAAACTGAGGAAAGTGGGGGCAAGGCGAAGGGATTGAGGGAGGGAGTTCCATAGCTTCGGGGCATAGTGGCGGAGGATTCAAGGGGTGAGGAGGAGGCCAGAGCCATTAGAGCGGAGGCAGCCAGTAGTGATGTGAGGGGAGAGGAGGTTGGAGAGATGGGGGGGTGCCAAGGTGAGGAGGATCTTGAATTTGATCTGCTTTGTGACAGGGAGCCAGAGGAGTTTGACAAGGACTGGAGTAATCGAGGAGCAGAGTTTGGTGTCATTGAGAATGTGGATGACAGAGTTTTGGATGAGTTGAATTTTGTGAATAGTGGAGGAGGAGAGAACAGTGAGGAGAGCGTTTGAGTAATCCAGCCGTGAGGTGACGAAGGCGTGGACAAGGGTTTTGACAGTGAGGTATTGTCGGAGATGGATAATGTGGCGGAGCTGGAGGAAAGCGGTCCTGATCAGGGACTGGATGTGGGAGAGGAAGGATAACTGGGGATCGAACCTGATGCCTAAATTGCAAACGAGTTCAGAGAGTTTTAATACTTAACTCAGTGGTAAAACGCTGAATAATTTAAACTTTAGGAGGCGGGTATATTAATGGAATTTTAAATAAGACCAAACAGCATGGAATCTACTTTACAGCTCAAATGTCCTCAATGGAAAATCTGTGAGTAGATCCTAAAATATTTCAATACCTCCCAACAAACACAAAGTGACCCCTATAATCTCATTTATGGATTACAGCTCCCGATGGGGATTAATTATATAGTCCTCTGCATTTTGCCTTGGGTTGATCCATTACATCCAGTTGCTTCTCAACACAAAGAGGCCAAAACAATGGAGATTGCCTCCCATTATCTGCTTTCAGGTATATTATTGTGACATATAATTACCTCAAATGCCTGGAAAATTAATCCTACATGGTAATGCTCAGACATGGTGATCTTCCATACACACTCCTTCATCGGTCTGTAGTCATCTGGATAGTTAGGAGACTGAATCTGCCCGGATTCTTTGTGGATCTCACCTCCACAGATTGCTGATAAAGTAAGCACATTCCTGTTATGGCACCCTTCAATACAGCGCCTCAATATACAATACAATTTACATTTATACAGTGACTTTCATGTTAGCGGGATATATCAAAAGTGTTCACAGGCAGGATGTCCACAGAGCTGGTTGGGCAGCCAGGCAGGTGGTGGGAGACGAGGGGGCAGGGATGGGAACCAGAATTATAGATTAAGCCTGACTAACCTTGTAGCTCATAAATCAAACAAACAAAATGACATTTGTACAGCATCTTTCACGTCGGGAGGATATCCCAAGGCATTGGACAATCAGTGTTGCGGATTCAAGCTGTGGGTCGGGATCGGGGTAGATAGCTGGCGGGGGAAGAAGGGTGACCGAAGGCACGGTCGAAGAGGAAGGTCTTGAGATTAAAGGAAGCATGGGAGGGGGCAAGGTGGAGGGACTGCGGGATGGAGTTTCAGAAGGTGGGGGCAGAGTGGCCCACCAATGGTGGGTGGGCGATGTGGGGGACATGAACCAGGCTGGAGCCTGCTGAGTTGAGGGAGTGAGCAGATTGGTAAGAGGTTAAGGTGGTCGCAAAGGTAGGGGGTATCAGGGCCATGGAGGATTTTGAAAGTGAGGACCAGGATCTTGAACTATATCCTCTGTGTGATGGGAAGCCAGGGAAGTTGGGCGAGGATAGGGATAATAGGGTTGCAGGTGTGGAGGGAGGAGTTGGAGAGGCCAACAAGCAGGAAGTTTGCATAGTCATGCCTGGATATTATGAATGCGTGTATGAGGGTTTCAGCAGCCTGAGGCGTGAGACAGTGGCAGAGCCGGGTGATGTTGCAGAGGTGGGGCAGGGCGTAGCGGGTCATGGCACCGATGTGGGGTATGAAGGACAGTTGAGGGTCAAACAGGACGCCGAGGTTCCGTATTGGATCCATGAGGTGTAGAGTGAATCCATGGAGGTAGATGCTGTCAGCACCTGAGGTGTGGAGGCTCTGACGGGAGCCAAGCAAGAGAGCCTCAGTCTTGTTGACTGAAGAAAGTTAGCTCTCATCCAGGACTTGACGTCCGACAGACATTCAGTCAGGACAGCAGTGGTCCTGGAGTAACATAACATGTAGGAGCAGGAGTAGGCCATTCGGCCCTTCGAGCCTGCCCCGCCATTCAATCATGGCTGACCTTCTAATCTAACTCCAGCTACTACCATAACCCTGCCTTATCCCCATATCCCTTAATCCCTTTTGTAATAAGAAATCTATCTATCTCAGTCTTGAATATGTTCAAGAACTGAGCGTCAACAGCCCTTTGGGGTAGTGAGTTCCATATATTCACTACCCTTTGACTGAAGAAGTTCTTCCTCAACTCAGTGCGAAAGGGCTGGCCTCTGATTTTAAGGTTGTGACCCTTGGTTTTAGTTTCTCCAACAGGAGAAACAATCTCCCACTATCTACTCTATCATGCCCTTTGATGATCTTATCAGTTTCTATAAGATCCCCTCTAATTCCTCTATATTCTAGAGAATATAGGCCCAAATTGGTCAGCCTATCCTCGTAACTCATCCCCTTCATCCCTGGTGCTAACCTAGTAAATCTATGCTGCACCCCCTCCAAGGCAAGTACATCCTTCCTTAAATAAGGAGACCAAAACTGCACACAGTATTCCAGGTGTGGTCTCATCAGGGCCCTATACAGTTGCAGCAAGACTTCCCTACTCTTATACTCTAATCCTTTCATAATGAATGCTAACAACAACAAGATTTCATTTATAGAGCGCCTTTCACGTCGGGAGGACGTCCCAAAGCGCTGGACAATTGGGTCGGGACCCAAGCAGGGGGGAAATGGTCAGGGCGAGGGGAGGGAAGGGAGGGAGCGAGGAGGGGGTAGAGAGTCGAGAGGGGAGCTGAAGGCATGGTCCAAGAGGAAGGTCTTGAGACCGGCCTTGAAGGAGGAAAGGGAGGAAGCAAGGCGAAGGCATGGGGGGATGGAGTTCCAGAGCCGAGAGGCTGAAGGCCCGGCCACCGATGGTAGGGCGGTTGGGGCGGGGGATGTGGAGCAGACCGGAGCCAGAGGAACGGAGGGTACGGGCAGGTAGGTAGGGGGATAGTAGGTCAGAGAGGTAGGAGGGAGCAAGGCCGTGAATGGCCTTGTAGGTGAGGATGAGGATCTTGAATTCGATCCTCTGGGGGATGGGGAGCCAGTGGAGGCGAGCGAGGGTGGGAGTGATGTGTTCCCGAAGCCTGGAGCGGGTCAGTACACAAGCTGCAGAGTTCTGAATGACCTGCAGCTTGTGGAGGGAGGTGCCGGGAAGGCCGGAGAGGAGAGAGTTCCCATAGTCCAGCCTTGAGGTGATAAAGGCGTGGACCAAAGTTTCAGCAGCGTGAGGGGTGAGGTAGTGCCGTAGTCTGGCGATGTTTTCGAGGTGATGGAAGGCGGTGCCAGTTGTGGCACAGATATGAGGAAGAACATACTGTTTGCCTTCCTAATTGCTGCTGCACCTGCAGACTAACTTTCTGTGATTGATGTACAAGGACACCCAAGTCCCTCTGGACGCTAACACATTCCAATCTCTCCCCTTCTAAAAAATAACCCGCTCTACTGTTTTTGCTACCTAGGTGGATGACTTCGCACTTCTCTACATTATACTTCATCTGCCACCTACCTGCCCAATCACCTAACCTATCTATGTCTCACTGCATTTTTCTAATGTCGTCCTCTGTGTTGACACTTCCTCCTAGTTTTGTGTCAACCGCGAATTTAGATATATTAGCTCCGATGTCCTCATCTAGATTGTTGATGTAAATGGTAAATAGCTGAGGCCCAAGCACTGATCTTTGTGGCACTCCACTAGTCACATCCCGCCAATCTGAAAAGGACCCATTTATCCCTAGTCTTTGTTTCCTACCCGTTAACCATTTCCCAATCCATGTTAATATGCTCCCCCCAATTCCATGGGCCCTTATCTTTTGGACTAACCTTTTATGCGGCACCTTATCGAATGCCTTCTGGAAGTCCAAATAGACCACATCCACTGATTCATCCTTATCTAGTTTGCTCGAAATATCCTCAAAAAACTCTATGAGATTTGTCAAACATGACTTCCCTCTTGTAAAGCCATGTTGACTTGGCCTAATTATATTGTGTTCCCTAAATACCGCACTACCACATCCTTAATCAATGATTCTAAAATTTTTCCTATCACTGATGTGAGACTAACTGGCCTATAGTTCCCCATCTTTTCCTTTCCACCTTTTTTAAATAGTGGTGTGACATTTGCGACCTTCCAATCCACGGAGACTGTTCCAGAATCCAAGGAATTTTGGAAAATCAGACATAAGGGCTCCACTATCTCATAACCTACCTCTTTTAAAACCCTGGAATGCAAGCCATCCGGACCAGGGGATTTGCATTTTTTAGTGCTAACAGTTTCCCTAGCACCAATTCTCTACTAATGAAAATTTCCCTAAGTTGCTCCCTGTCCTTATCCCCTTGGTTCATCTCTATTGTTGGCAGACTTGTTGTGTCTTCTTGGGTGAAGACAGATGCAAAGAACCCATTTAGGGACTCTGCCATGTCCTTGTCCCCCATTACAACTTCTCCCGTCTCTGACTGAAGTGGACCTACATTTACCCTCACTAGCCTATTACTCTTAATATATTTGTAAAAACTTTTACAATCAGACTTAATTTTCCTATCTAGCTTACCCTCATACTCAAGGGTGGAGGCAGAGAGGTAGAGTTGGGTATCATCTGCATACGTGTGGAAGTTGACCCCATGTCTGCGGATGATAATAATAATAATAATCCTTGCATTTGATTTAGCGCTTTTCATGTCGGGAGGACGTCCCAAAGCGCTTCACAGAACACACTGTAAAGTGAATTGACTGTATATTTGTGGGCGAACGCGGCAGCCAATTGCGCAGAGCAATGTCCCACAAACAGTCGTAGGTTGAAAATGACCAATTTATTATTGTTTTTGGTTTTGGAGGGATTATTATTAGGCGTGTGGAGTAAGGAAACTTGCCCAAGGTTTCGCCCTCTGCCTGGAATTGAACTCAGGTCTCTCGCTTGCAAAGCGAGTGCTCTAACCACTGAGCTACAGGACTCCACATGATGTCAACAAGAGGGAGCGTATAGATATTGAAGAGGAGGGGACCAAGGACAGATCCCTGAGGAACGCCACACATGACAGTGCGGGGCTGGAGGAGAAACCTTAGTGGCGACATAGTGGAGACAGTGGGAGAGGCAGGCAAGGACAGGTCTGCGAAGGTTGAGCTGAGAGAATAGGTGGTTGAGTATCAAAGGCAGTGGAGAGGTCGAGCAGGACAAAAAGGCAGAGAGAACCTTGCTCACAGTTGTTCAGAATGTTGTTAGTGACTTAGACCAGGGCTGTTTCCGTGCTGTGGGCAGCATGGAAACCCAATTGCCTCTATAAAACATGTAGTCACTCCACTTTATATCCTGCAAAGAGCTTTGAGATATCAACCCAACAGGAAAAGTGCTATATCAAATGTAAAGATTATTATCATTATTATTGTTATTACTAAATACACAAGTTACATAAACTTTTTCCGGACCTCTGAGACAGTTTAGGCAAGCAAGCACCATAGAGTAGCCTCCCCAATTACGTGCGTCATGGGTTTTTATTTCCAGTAAATGCTCGTTTGGTTAAGTGGCACTTTGTCAGCAGTTTTTATTTCCCCAAACACACAGGATTGTGCAAGAGGACATGATCTGGCTTGGGCAGGATACCCTTACAAGACTGATTTGGGTGAAAAATCAATTTGACCTAATTCTTCCAGAACACATGCACTACCATCCTCCCATCATAGCATCTGCTTTTTTTTAAAAAATGCAGCAACCAGCATGCTGGCCTCAACCACCCTTCCTGGCAGGAGCTCTTTCCAAAGGGTGCAAGCCTGCCGACAGTCATTGTCCAGCTGTAACACTGCTAAAAGAGGTAGCACAGGTCTGCTGCCTTGTCCAGACAACAACAACAACAAGATTACATTTGTATAGCGCCTTTGACGTCGGGAGGACGTCCCAAGGCGCTGGACAGTGTACAGCATATCAGACCCGAGCTGGGGTTGGGGGAGGAAGGGAGGGGAGGGGAAGGGGGGTGGCCGATGGCATGGTCGAAGAGGAGGGTCTTGAGGTGGGACTTGAAGGAGGCTAAGGAGGGGATGTGGCGGAGTGATTGGGGGATGGAATTCCAGAGGTTGGGGGCAGAGTGGCTGAAGGCGGGTGGGTTGGGGGACATGGAGCAGGCCAGAGCCGGCTGAGCGGAGGGAACGGGTGGGTTGGTAGGGGGTTAGGAGGTCGCAGAGGTAGGATGGGGCGAGGCCATGGAGGGCTTTGTATGTGAGGACCAGGATCTTGAACTGGATCCTCTGAAGGATAGGGAGCCAATGGAGTCGGGCGAGAGTGGGGAGATGGGGTCACGGAGTTTGGTTCGGGAGAGGACACGGGCTGCAGAGTTCTGGATTATCTGCAGGCTGTGGAGGGAGGAGTTGGGAAGGCCGACAAGAGGGCATTTGCATAGTCGAGCCTGGAGGTGATGAAGGCATGAACAAGAGTTTCAGCCGCCTGAGGGGTGAGGTAGTGGCGGAGTCGGGTGATGTTACAGAGGTGAGGGAAGGCAGAGCGGGTTATGGCTTGAATGTAGGAGAGAAAAGACAGTTGAGGGTCGAACAAGACACCTAGGTTCCTGACTGGCTGGTGAGTTGTAATATGCAACCAGAGCCTGAGGTGCAGAGGCGCTGGCGCGAGCCAATCAGGAGGGCCTCAGTCTTGTTCACATTCAACTGTAGGAAATTTGCCCTCATCCAGGACTTGATGTCTGTCAGGACAGCAGTGGTCCTGGAGTTGAGGGTGGAGGCAGAAAGATAGAGTTGGGTGTCATCCGCATACATGTGGAAGTTGACCCCATGTCTGCGGATGATGTCCCCAAGGGCGAGCATGTAGATATAAAAGAGGAGAGGGCCAAGGACAGAGCCCTGGGGGACGCCAGATGTGACAGTGCGGGGGCTGGAGGAGAAACCGTCAGAGGCAACAAAGTGGAGACATTGAGAGAGATAGGAATCGAACCAGGCAAGAGCAGATCCGTGAAGATTGAGTAAAATGGAGACCCAGGACTACAGCAAGTCACAGCTCTTACTGGAGGAAAGGAGGAAAATTGAAGGAAAAAGAAGCAAATAAATCCATTTCTGGTTGACATGCAAGAAAGTCGATAAACTTGTTACAATAATGAGACTTGAAATGGAAGGCTACCTTCATAGACTGCTGCAAAACCTTTTCCCACCCAGTTACTGCTGCTTCGAAATTCTATCCACATTCTACTGTCAGTGGAAATCAGGACTTCAGGCAATTTATCACCACAGTATCTGCCTGCAAGTACAAACATCACCACAAAAGAGTTTAATACTCAGCTCAGGAAAGAATCAAGAGATACACAATAAACCATTAATAACTCGTCGCTCCAAGTTATCTGGAGTGGCAAGTTAGGCGCATATATATATATATATATACATACACATAAATGAATATGTCCAGAATATTTACAGCATGATGACTTAAATGGTAGTGACAAGTTAAGCCAGGGTCGAGTTATCAGGAGTTTACTGTATTCAGGTTACGATACAGTTAATGGACATACAAAGCAATGTAAAACACAATCTTTTATTATCTTTGTCATCCAAACACATTAAGCAGTGCTCTCAATCTGCACGTCATTTATATTATTTTTACTTAGTAATGTTTTTGTTGTATTTTTCCTCAAGGCCCCAAATTTAAACATGCTATCATGCTATTGTACATAACCCTAGGCACAAGAGATTCGCAATCGTCAATTAAAAAAACAAACTGACGCAAGCAAATAATTTATCTTTTTTTAAAGTTAAACATTTCTTGGAGACTTATTCCCTACTTCTCAGTAAAAAATACCAACCTTGGATGTGAATGGGTCTTAATCTCTGCTTACTGGTAGCTGTTTTACGCATATTCTGCCAAGGTTCATTAAATTGCCGAGAAGCAGAGTAACCTCATTATGCCTTTTCCCTCCTGTTGTGTTTGTTTTTGGAATATTTTGTTTTGTACTGATAACATCACCAGGGAAATTGGTTGACAGGACCTCCTCAGCACAATAACATGAAGGAAGCAAACTAAACTAAAATCCTTGGATGCCCGTGATTAACCAAAGTGCCTCAGTCATCTACCATTTCTGTTGCATCTGTTAAATATGTGTGACTTGCACAATTGGTCTTAATAATATCTGAATAATACCTGCCAAGCAGCCCTGCATTAATGGTCATTTTTCAATCAAAAATATGTTCAAATTTTACAGTATTTAAGGATGCAAATGTTAGAATTCACGAATTCAATCTGCTTAAAAGGGATATGATACATGAAAGCAACCTTAGAACCTTTTATATGTCACTAGTCTTTCGGCAAAGGCAGATCTGAGGATCTCTTCATTTCCATTTAGCAACTGTTTAACGTCTTTTCATGCAGGGCTAACCAGCAGGGTGATACAAAGGAGGGCACAGGCACTGAAAGATTACACATTGAGCAAATATATTCTTTTAGGAGTTAATATTGGAAATAAAGGAAACCATTGTTCTGGCATGGAGGATTTCCAAAAGATAATTCACCTCCAGTTAGTCGTGAAGAAAACTACACTAAATATATCTCCTTCTTGAGATCCTATTTGCTTGAGCACTCAGGAGCCTTGTGAATAAAACCTGCCATGCTGCATACCTGATGAGATTACAAAGGCAATGTGCCCATCTCTGGCTGGCATCTTGAGATGAGTAAGAAGTCACATCCGACCCAAACCTAGATTCAGACTCAATGCTGACAGGCAAGAAGAATCAAAGCTCAAGAATGTTTGTCAGGTCATGTGGCCTAGGCAGTACTGAGCCTCTGGCTTGTATTCAAGCACTGAGATTGGTATCCTCTTTGCTGCTGAATGTGAGCTGCACTCATGCCAACGGCTCCCAGCTACAAACAGATCCACTAGATGTGACTGCACCAAACTGTTTGCAGCCAGAAGACATAACGTGACTGTTCTCTTTGAAGTTGCTTGAGGAGCTCCATAACTCAAAATATTTTTGCAGTCTTTCTGGAGGGGAAAACTTTACACTGAAAAAAACATGCTTTCCAATAGTGCTAATCTTCCTTAATTCAACTATTACATAAATAAATAAATAAATAAATGTATAAAGTTATATACAATGGCACAGCTATGTGTCCAACTGGTCAAAGTTCAATACCAAGAAGCGGTGCCTTTCTCCAATAGCCATCTCGTACTTCTATGTAGTCATACCAGCACAGGCGGCTCTTGAAAAGATCCATGGTGGTAAAATTTAACACAATCTGCAACAGAAATGAATAGAGAAGCTGATTAGAATGGAAAACAACTGGAAAGTACTGTAATGTGGTCAATGCGAATGACACCACTCATTCCCAGCAGAAGCACCAGAAACTAGAGTGTTGTCTCAAGTGAATCACCTAGGGTCGCGAGGCTTCATCTTGGACATCACTGGAGCCGAGGTGTGTGACATACGGAGAATTCCCTGGAGAATGCTTACGGCAGTAGCCATGCAGCAGGTGTTACACTAAAGGATTCTGTAGGTGCTATTATGCTGCATATATTCTACTGCTATTGGATAAGTAAACGTCTCTGCTACTGCAAGTTTTAAATAGATGCTGGTAACGTGTTTATCTTGCTGTAACATAATCAAAATGGGTTGCAGTGTTTTACTTTTAGCACTAAACATAAGAGAATATCACTCCTACAAGCAGTATGACTTTCTGATGTCAGCCTTTGGCTCTCGGGGAGATTGGCATCCTTCCTGCTCCCTCGATGTCAGTTCCATTGCAGCCCAACATGTTATTGTTTCTGGGAGCACTTTAAAACCAGGTAAACACAGAGTGGTTTCTCTCAGAGAAGAGACAATTTCTGTGATGTTTTTTGTTTAATGCATCTCGTGACCTAAATTAAAGAATTTCCCTCATTCTCATTTCCCCAGTAATGTAACACTTTCTTGAACTGAGAAATTTAGACTGCGGCGTGATGGCAGTGTGGCTCATTTGGTTACACTCCTGCCTCCGAATCAGATGGTTGTGGGTTCAATTCCTACAATGGGACTTTGAACTCACAGTCTAGGCTGAATACTCCAATGTAATGCTGGAGGTGTACCGCATTTTCAGAGGTGCCTTTCTTCGGATGAGAAGTTAAACCAAATCTGCCATCTTAGGTGGACATTGAAGATTCCTTGGCACTATGTGAAATAAGAAGGGAGTTTCCTTTGATGAAAATTCATCTAGCTCTGTTCTAAACCCCTTTATATAGTTTCTTGTTTTCATAGATTCATAGAATGTTACGAGTCTGTGCGGCTCTTTGACAGAGCAAGTCACTTTCACTAACCCCAATCACCAGCTTTCTCCCCATAACCCTGCAAACCCGTCTTCCCCAGATACCTATCCAGTTCTCTCTTAAAAGCTGTTATCGAATCGGACTTCACTACTCTTTCAGGCAGATCATTCCAAATTCGAACAACTTGTTGAGTGAAAACATTTCTTCTAACCTCCCCTCTACTTCTTTTGGTAGATATCTTAAGACTGACCGCAGGTCACAGACACACCTACCAGCACAAACAGCTTTTCCCTATCTCGCCTGTCAAAACCTTTCATGATCTTGAAGACCTCTATCACGTCCCCACGTAACCTTCTCTGCTCTAATGGGAAAAGTCATAACTTCTCCAGCCTGTCCTCATAGCTAAGGTTCCCCATTCCTGGTATCATTCTCGTGAATCTCATCTGCACCCTTTCCAGTGCCTTAATGTCCTTCCTGAAGTAAGGTGCCCAGAACTGGACGCAGTACTCCAGCTGAGGCCTAACCAGTGTTTTGTATAGATTAACCATAACCTCCCTACTCTTATACTCTATGCCCCTACTAATAAAGCTCAGTTCACCAAATGCCTTTTTTACTGCCTTATCTACCTGCCCTTTAATGATTCGCTTACTTGAACACCCAGATCTCTCTGTACATTCACCCCCCTTAAGATTGAGCTACCAAGTCTATATTGCCTCCTATTATTTTTCCTACCCAAGTGTATCACCTCGCACTTATCCACATTGAAATCCATCTGCCACATGTCAGCCTATTCCACCATTCTGTGTATGTCTGCTTGCAGTTGGTTACAGTCCTCCTCATTACTTACTACCCTACCCAACTTTGTATCATCTGCAAACTTGGAAATAGTGCTCTCTATGCCCAAGTCCAGATCATTAATATATATTAGAAAGAGCAGTGGTCCCAATACCGATCCCTGGGGGACACCGCTGCACACCTCCTTCCATTTCGAGAAACACCCATTAACCACCACCCTCTGCTTTCTGTCACTCAGCCAGTTCTTAATCCAAACTGCCACTGCCAGGTGTTCCAACACCTCTGCTGATGTTTGTTCCACATTTTTTACTGGAACAATTTCTCCTGTACTTCCTATCCTCTTCTGTGACCTTTATTTCAATGGTGAAAGCCAGAAGGAAAGAGAGTATGAGTAACCTTAATTAAATAATTAGTATTAAAGTTAGAAAAGAGAGGCTGCAGAGAGATGTTATATTCGTTATTAAAATGGAAAGTTAAATAGAAAAAGTAGAGAATAGCAAAGAAGGGACATGTGTCATAAGAAAGAAGAAAGGGAAGACAAACAGAGTGGAATTATTCTGTCAACTAAATGGAAATCAACTTCAAAAGCTTGCATTTATGTAGAACCCATCATCTTGGAGTGCTTTACATGTTGGGGTTGAATGCTGAGCGAGGGAAAAAGAAGAGGGAATGGTGACCATAGGAGCGATTGAAAAGATGGACTTTAAGATAGCATTACCATAACAATGCAACTCCTAACATTTGAGTGCTTTATTACTGTAATACTGTTTTTACATCAGCTTCACAATGTGTGAACTCAAACTTAACAAAACTGGTCAGCCCAGAAAGGCATAGATTTCTCTCAACCTGTTAGCATTTTATGCTTCTTGTTCTTATCAAAATCTCACTCTTAACATTTTCTCAATGTTGACAGCTGTGATCTCAGGCCCATCTAAGTTCTCAACTATCCATTTCCTATTCCTAGTCGATTTCATGGTTGGTTAGCAAGCACTGAACTCTGAAATGTTTATACAGAAAACTTTACAGTAAATTATTGTATTAGTATAGTAGTCTCAGGAGGGCATAGTAAAACTAACAAAAGGTCTGCAATGTTTCAGAATGTTTGTATAGGGCAATGGCAGGGCTGTCCATTTACACATCCCAGGGGATTCCAGAGCAAGAACTGCTGCCTTTGTTATCAAAGCAATTTTACTTAATCAAAAATGATGGTTCTCAAAAGAAGAAAGTATAGAGCCAAGTACTATGACTGTGTATGAATGCGTATCCAAGATGTGATCAGGAGGACAGTGTCAACGCTTTCACACGTTTTATGGTCCTCAGGAGTTTATGGTATCTGATCTCCATAATAATCCTTGAATTTGATATAGCGTTTTATCCTGTCACTAAGACATCTCAAAGCGCTTCACAGAATCTATTGTAAAGTGAATTGATTGTATAATTTCCATCAAGCAAAGATTCAAACCTATACTTGTCAGATGTCTAATGGCCAACTTGTGAATGTCTTCCTTGCAGGAAAGGAGGGAAGCGGAGCCTCTTTAGAGCTAAGTTGTTTGGCAATCGAAAATTATAATGCAGATGATCCTATGTGGCAATCCCAGTTGTCTATACTAGTGTGTGTGGGTGGTGGTGGTGGGTGGAGAGATACTTCAGGCATTGGCTCATTGATGAGATGTGAAGTAGCAACGAGGAACTGGTCACGAACCTTCTCGAACCCTTCCAATCGGGCTTCCGTGCTGCCCACAGCACAGAAACCGCCCTGGTCAAAGTGACAAATGACATTCTGTCCATCTGCAACCAGGGGTCCCTCTGCCTCCTCGTCCTCCTTGACCTCTCTGCTGCTTTCGATACTGTTGACCACTCTATCCTCATCCACGGCCTCTCCTCTCACCTCAACGGTGCTGTCCTTAATTGATTCAGATCATACCTCTCACACCGCCTGCACTTCATCTCCTCAAACGGCTTCTACTCTAGCCCCCACAACGTCTCGTGCGGTGTTGCTCAGAGCTTTGTCCTTGTTCCCCTCCTCTTCAATATTTATATGCTCCCTCTTGGTGACACCATTTGCAGACATGGGGTCAACTTCCACATGTATGTGGATGTCACCCAACTCTACCTCTCTGCCTCCACCCTTAACTCCAGGACCACTGCTGTCTTGACAGAATGTCTGTCAGACATCAAGTCCTGGATGAGAGCTAACTTTCTTCATTTGAACGTCAACAAGTCCTGATTGGCTCCCGTCAGCGCCTCCACACCTCAGGCACTGACAGCATCACCATCCATGGTTGCACATTCCACCTTGCTAAGCCAGTCCAGAACTTTGGGGTCTTGTTTGACCCTCAACTATCCTTTCTACCCCACCTCTGCGCCATGACCTGCCCTGCCATCCCCCACCTCTGCAACTTCGCCCGGCTCCGACACTGTCTCACACCGCAGGCCGCCGAAATCCTCATATATGCTTTCACCTATGCCAAGGCTCGACTACGCAAACTTACTGTTTGTCAGCCTCCCCATCATCTCCCTCCACAGGATGCAAATCATCCAGAACTCTGCAACCAGTCTCCTCTCCCACACTAGGCTCCACGACCCTATCACCTCATCCTTGCCCAACTCCATGGGCTTCCCATCACACAGAGGATACAGTTCAAGATCCTGATCCTCACCTTCAAAGCCCTCCACGGTCTTGCTCCCCCCTACCTCTCCGACCTCCTAACACCCTACCACCCTGTTCGCTCCGTCCGCTCAGCGGGCTCCGGCCTGCTTCACGTCCCCCGCCTTGCTCGCCCCACTATCGGTGGGCGGGCCTTCCGCCTCTTTGCCCCCACCCTCTTGAACTCCACCCTGCACTCCCTCCGTCTCATGCCCTCCCTCACCACCTTCAAGACCATCATGGTCGAAGACCTCTTCGACTATGCTTTCGATTTCCCTGCTTTCTCCCCTGCCCTCCCACCTCCCCCACCCCGATCCTCAGCTCAGGTCCTTAACTCTGTCTGTCCAGCGCCTTGGGACATCCTCTGGACATGAAAGGTGCTATACAAATGTAATTTTGTTGTTGTTGTTGTCACTGCTGCAGGGAATCTTCCCACTCAGCTCCAATAATTCTGCAAACCGAAGTCCTAATGGTAGGGTGATCCTAGCCTAACAAGCAACATAAAACCTTCCAGTCACTGTCGAAAACCTAACAATGACCCTGATGCCAAAGGTAGAGAATAGGCAGACTTAAAAGGGAATTCCTTGGCTGATATTACCAGACAAAACTGGATTCATGAATAAGACTGAGCAGCTAGAAGACCATAGCTCCATAGAAAAGTCCATAAATTGGGATTATCTGACACATTCCATTTCTTATAGTGCATTATTCAAAACATCTCACAGCACTTTACAATAATTCCTATCAAGTGCTATTCCTGTTTTGGATTAGACACACTTCATATGAGACATTCAACTAAGGACTTCCGCTGTTCAAGTGAACACTAAAAAGAGAAGGGAGTTTCTCCTGATGTCCTGATTGGTGTCCTCGTCATTCGTTTCACAGCTTTTAGTGGGACTGCTGTATTTACAGAAAATATACAGTCACTCACTTCACAGTAAATCCTGTGATCCACTTGGAGATATCCTCGCAATGTGAAAAGCACTATACAGTATCAAGGTTGATTATTACTACTGTCATTATGTTCATTAAATCAGTATGTGAAACTGGTGGTACATTCATTATATCCTGCTCAGGGAAAGCCAATGCCTACATCCAGCTTTTATATAAACATGCATTGAATACAATAGCAAGTAGCCAATATTAAATTTGTACAAGACATTGGTTAGGCCACAACTGGAATATCATGTCAATTTTGGGCACCGCATTATTGAAATGACATCACTGCCATGGATACAACACAGAAGAGATTCAATTTGATGTTATCGAGGAGGAAAGCATATAATTATGTGAAGATTCGAAAAAATATAAATTTTTGCTGGAGCAGAGCAGGTTAAGAGCAGATTTAAAGACGTTCGCAACAACAACTTGCATTTATATAGCCCCTCAGGAAGGGTAGTGTCCCAGAGTGTTTGGAAAATTATGCTACATTAAGAGTAAGTCTCGCAAGATTATAACCCCTGATCAGGAAAGAAAGAATGGTGGGTTAGAAGAAATGTTTTTTTTTACTAAGCAGTTTTTCAAATATGAAATGTTTTTCCACAAATTAGAAACTGATTTTTTACAGTGTTTGAAAGGGAATTGAACAAATGCTTGGAAGAAAAGTAATGTTAAATGGGTGTAGGCCAAGAGCAGGATGTGCGATTGGAGTATAATAATTTGATCACTCAATCCATGACTGTTTGTGGGACATTGCTGTGTGCAATTGGCTGCCGTTTTCGCCCACAAGATACACTGTCAATTCACTTTACAGTATATTCTGCGAAGTGCTTTGAGACATCTTAATGGCACGATAAGGAGCTACATCAAATCCAAAGTATTATTATTAAAGCATCAACATCGGCACAATGAGCGTAATGCTCGTGATCTTTACTATAAGGACAGTAACTTCCATTTGATACAGCGCCTTATCGTTAAGAAGTCTCAAAGCGCTTTACAGAATATACTGTAAAGATGCTGTACCCTGGTGTAATACTGAACCATATAGATTTATGACACAGAAGAAGGCCATTCAGCCCATTGTGTCTGTGCCAGGTAACCCTAACCCTAATTGGCAGGTTAAGAAACAAGTTTCCAAGTGCTAGCATAATGTACAGCTCAAACCCATATGGTCTCCCTTTTCTTCATTGTCAAGAACTAAAAACCCCATAATAAGGTATGACAGCAATAGCACTGAGTAATATCAGCACGTCAATTTCTATCCACATCTAGAAGTATGATTACACATCCATTATCATCTAAACATTTTTTGCAATTCAAAATAGTCTACAATATTCCAGAAACAAACTCCCACACAGAACAGCTGGAGAGATGGCACAGGGCCTTTGAAATGTTAACAATGAGTGGAGAATTATTTTACGTTGTTTTTTTTTATACTGTGTTTCCAATTGACTTGTTTGGCTTTGTTTCAAAAGAGCTTGGTGCATAAGACGACTCAGCATTATTCATAAAATCCTCTGCCAAGTTTCTTATATCGTAAAACACAATGTACTTCAGCTTTTATTTTGTTGTTCTGCGGAACAAGTTATAAGGTAATTTTGTATAAATATTCCTCTGGATTTAAATCCACCTCATTAACAAATTAATTACACTTTAATTATTGCTATTAAGAATCCCAAAACATCTTACAATCTTAAAGATGAGATTATTCTCTTCAAATTTAAATTAAATTCACACAGAATTTGTTTTTGTTCTAAAAATTCATTGTTAGTCGGCAAATCAGTTTACCACAATTTCTTTTGGCAAATACTTTCCAAAATGCTGTAAGATTTTAAATTCGAAGTTATTGGGTTTAAGGCTAGGTTCATGAGACATTTGAGCTTCATAGATAGGAGGATATAGCATAGAAACAGGCCATGCAACCCAACTAGTCCATGCTGGGGTTTATGCTCCATACCTCCTATTCTCTCTCTGCTACCTTTTGTAATGCAAAGGTATTTAAAGGTTTTGTTAAAATCATCATATTGAAAGGATCGACCATGGGAATTGAACCTAGACTACCAGCTGTTAGGACGATAACTCTCCTGACATAATAGCACATCAGCCACCTGATGATTCCATAGTAATAATACAAATTATTTCACTTTTTTTCATATATAGGACAATGGCCATATATGATAGCAACAACTGTATTTAACATATCACTCAAATCGCTAAAACCACCAAATGTTTCATTAGGAGATTTCTGTTGACCCCACTCAATAAAGCATAAAATAAGCATATACAGTATCTCAGTTGTTATGTTCTGAAAGTATATGGAGAAAAAACAGATGAGTGGGACTAAACAGACTTAACAACAACAATAACAAATTTACATTTATATAGAGCCTTTCACATCAGGAGGACACCTGAAGGCAGCTTGAAAGGAGGCCAGCACAGACACAATAACCCGAGTAAATGTCTCCGCTCTGCAAAATTCCCATAAGAGTCTGCCCATAAACAGAGACTTCCAATAAATCCAAACCCAATTTATTGATTTTGTATAAATACAAGATCACTGTCAGAAGAAATCTTTAAATTAAAGTAATATAGGTGATATCTGCGGATGTACACTATAAAATGTTTAAAAAAATCAATATATTACCTTTTCACCAGGTGTAACAGAGATTCTCCAAACACAATGTGTGTAAGAGGGGTATCCATTCGGAAATCCTGGTGACGTGAAATTACTGGTCGAGTCTTGGAGTGTTTCCCCACACGCTGCACAGAAAAGCAAGAAAAGTATTGAATATGAATCCTATTCTTCACCTGGCCAGTTTCAACTGCAAAGGTAAATGGTGACACCAAACAAACAGAAAAAAAAGACAACTACAACATGACCCCAAACTTTGCAAAGCCCCGATTCATTAAAATTTGAAGTGTTATTGTTTTCAGCATTGCAAAAAACAAGGTATCAATACTTATCCTGTATATCTTTTGTTAGTCCTTCCACTAACTTGTCCATTCCTGCTCTCTTCTATCACAACATCCATCCAGGAGATAAAGTAAGGCAAGGTAAATTCCTGCATTTGATAGAGCGCCTTACACGTCAGGACACGTCTCAAAGAGCTTCGCAGGATTTTACTGTCAATTTGCAGGAATAACATTGATATAGCGCCTTTCACATGAGATAGTGAGAAAGGCTGAGTATTCACATCAGGTGCAGGCTTCTGCCGCATTTTCAACCAGTCATTGAAACTGTGCCTGGTTAATCCATTTAATCAATACAGTAAAAATAAGTTTCAAATGAAATCCTATCCATTTACTTAAAGCAGCCAAATGGAGAATACATGCAAGCTTTTGTCAGCAAATGATGTATTGTTTTTTGCTGCTGTGGAAAAATAATGTAATGTAAACATGGGGAAGAGGTGGTTTTATGTGGCGATTCCCCTACAAATAGCCTTTTACTAATGATTAACCAGACCAGAGGTTTCAGTTTGCTGACAACTATCAGCCTATGCTGAAAAAAAATTCCATTTGGTATAGCGTCTTATCTCATCAGAAGGGCATCTCAAAGCACTTCACAGGATTTATTGTGAAATGGAGTGACTGTGTAGGCAAATGAGACAGTACAATTGTGCACAGCAATGTCCACAAACAGCCATGGAGTGAGTGACCAATTTTATTTGGGGGACTGTTGGCCAGAACACTGGGAGAAACTCCTTTCTCTTTTTGAATAGTGCCATGGGATCTTTGATGTCCACCTCAACGGGCAGACGGGACCTCAGTTTAGCATCTCATCAGAGACTCAAAGAATCAATGAAAAGTGCATTCCACTTGTTTGTCAGAACACCGTCACAACTGAATGTATAAACAACAACAACATTTAGCTCACATGAACATGATTCATTTGAAACACTTTGAGGTCCTCCTCATGTGAAAGGCACTATTTCAGTTCTCTGGCTTCAGAAACCAGCTTGTTCTCTTACTACAATATTTGGAATAGCTTTAACTGTGGTGCAAGGGCAGCACACGGCAGTGGAAGAAAAGAAAAACAATTAGCTGTCATTGGTGACAATGCTTTTTAACTGCCTTGAGTTACAATGGCATGTCTCTCCTGGTATTACTAAAGCTTCTGATTTTTGTTTTTAATCGATAACAAATGAAAAACCACTGTCCATATACAAAAAAATGAAATCGGTGTCCATCCAATAAACACTGAAAAATCACCATAAATGTTACATTTATGTCATGACACGACCTGCACATGCGTAACTCTCGCTCTCTGGCCACCACTCTCTCTGCTGATACATTTGTGAGAGGGAGGCACTGCGCATGCATAAGGACACCTCTCTCAACAACAACGACTTGCATTTATATGGTACCCTTCACGTGGGGAAGTGTCCCAGAGCACTTGACAATGGCGGAGTCTGACAGCAAGCCAAGGGGAGAGTGAGGTGACTGTAACAACAACAACAAAATTACATTTATAGAGTGCCTTTCACGTCAGGAGGACGTCCCAAAGCGCTGAACAATCAGGTGTTGGGGCCTGAACATGGGGGATGGGGGTGGTGTAGGGGTGAAGGAAGGTACAGAGGTGGGAGGGAGACCAAAGGCACGGTCGAAGAGAAGGGTCTTGAGACCGGCCTTGAAGGAGGCAAGGGAGGAAGCGAGGTGAAGGGACCATAGGATGGAGTTCCAGAGTGTGGGGGCAGAAAGGCTGAACGCACGGCCACCGATGGTAGAGCGAGTCGGGCAGGAGACATGGAGTAGGCTGGAGCCTGATGAATGGAGGGAGCAGGCAGGTTGGTAGGGAGTCAGCAGGTCAGAGAGGTAGTATGATCAAAAAGGTCAAGGCAGGATTTGACCAGAGCCAAGGAGTATGGCTTCCGCCTTGCTGACATTCAGCCGCGGGAATTTGGGCTCACCAGAGACTCATCAAACAAGCTGACAGGACATCATTGGGAGTCGCGGGGAGGAGGAGAAGTAGATTTGGGTGGAAGTTGACCCCATGTTTACGGTTGACATCGTCAAGAGAGGGCATCTCCCTTCCATGTCGCAGGCTGAATCTTCTTATTATTAGTAAATGAAAGTCCCGAAACCCCCCAATTTTTAGAACTCAAAAATTGCTAAAAGAAAATCCCCCAAAATGAAATCTCAAACCCCCCAAAAAAATTCAATATTAAAATACTTAATCCAAACTTGGTATAACACCATTATTTAGTGATTTGGGGGGTTAATCTGCCGTGGTTTGCCAACACTGGAGGACTTTTTGTTTGATGCTTATGATGAAAAAGCAAACACTCCTCCTCCTAGTTAGTGTCCTTGTCAGTAGGGGAAAACAGCCTGCAGGTGAAAGCTCACTTCCCATGTGTTGATGAACAATAATAAGCCAGCGTGAACAGCTCTGAGTTAATTTGTCCATTTCAAAGCTTCTAGATTTGTTTCACTCTTTGCCTTGAACAGAATGCTCTTTCTCCACCCTGCTCCCACCAAGATTTGATATGCCTTGTTTCAATGGAAGTTCTTGTTCTGATGCAGAACGAGGATTAATTCTTGTCTCAAATAGTAGAATACTGTGTACTTTAACTACAAATGCGCAATTGTGATCATCCTCACCACTTTTTTTAAAAAAAACTTCTGATAGTTTTCACCACCCCAAAGCCATTGGACTTATTTTTCCCTCTGTTGACAGATGCATCCATAAGCATCCTCTTGTACTTTGTGTGAGCTTTGATAGTGAGTGTTAGTGGACTACTCACACACGGGACATTCCTGTGGATCATATCCTTCCTTGCATAATGTTTTCTCTCTCTCTTTCACACACACACACATCACACACCCAACCATATGCAGGCACCTTCCAGCAGGAATCTGTGGTTAGCAATTGGAAACAGAAATCCTGGCTGATTTTTACTTCCTTTGCTCTGAGGCCAATTCTAGCATTCCAAATTGCTACCTGGTTGAGATCAGCTAATTCAAAAACACCTGGGATTATAATATGTAACCTTCATGGGTTGACTTGTTCTGAACTAGACAGTGCTTTTATCCACCTGACTAACACGTAAGATGTCAGATTTTTTCAGGCCTTTATCTGAAGTCATGCTGGGAGAAATTACTGTAATGACACCTCAGTAAATTAGAGGAACTTTGGTTGGGAACATCTCTGAGCTTTTCTACTCAACAATATGCATTAAACACCACAATACCATACTACAGTAACCTATGTAGTTCGATTCTGCTTAAGCAACAGGAAAAGTCTCATCCAAATGAAGTATTTCCTCTTGTGAAAATAACAACGTGTAATTCAATTTTATAGTTATTTCAGGATTCCACATCATGTGATAAGAAATGCATAGACAGCATCCAAACCCACAATTGGTGTGGCAAGAATACATCTGCTTATGAAACAACAAGTGCTTTGAGCACTAAAGGGGATTCTTATTTTCTGCACGTCTCCTCCTCCTAAAGCCGTTTTGCCTTTTTNCTTCTTCTTACAGGGGTACAGAGCACTGTTACCACTTTTACTGCCCCAACTGCTGTTCTAATGGGGTCAACCAGCTCAGCACAGAATGGAGTTCAAACTCACTGGATCACCTAGCTGAACTCAGTGAGAAAGGATTTCAATAAGAAACTAACTAAAGAGAGATTAACTAACTCAACATAGACTAGGAACATAGACGCCATAGGAATTAATAGACATTAAAAAAAGACTAGTTCGCCTTCTACCATCCTGGTAGTCGCATGCTACAATAATGGAGATGTTCATAGCAATTAATTCTGTTTGGATCAGTCTACAACAGAGTGGAAAGCTTTGTGAACCTTAGATCCAAAAGTGCCCAACAAGTGATTGAGCCTGGAATCTTCGTCTGAATGGCTCAGCAACTTACGGGATCACTTTATACCAAATTAACTCGAGCACCTTAAATAGTTCACCTGCAGAAATGTTTTGTGCATTGGTAGGTTATTTATACAGTACAAAGGTAAATTGATCTCTGCACTATTTCAATATGGATATAAGTGACGTCTGAATCCAGATCTTTATACATTCTCAATAATCATTTCTCAAATTATATTATAAAATAATTAATTTACAGAACGTAAATTTCACATAAATCACATTTCAAAGTCATTTAGTTCAGTGTTTCTCGGTTGTTTTGATACTAGGAACTGGCTCAGTTTCTTTATAAAGTGCGGACCCAATAGCATACGGATCTGTTAAGGTCCCCCAATCTAACAAGATCTGTGGCATGGACCAACCACAACCAGTCCTCAGACCGGTCATTGAGAAACATTGTTTTTGTCAACTAGGGCTAATGGGCTGTTGTTCTTCAATATTTTTTTCACCATGCTTTTGGTCAATATCATTAATTCTCTCTTCCTGCTCAGTGTTTCCTATAATATTTATTGAGTGCTTCAAGACATTGTTGCTACATAGAAGATGCTATTTAAGTGCAAATTGTTGCTACTCTTTCCCATAATCCTTTTCTATTCTCCTTTTATAACTGTTGAGTTTAAACTGTAATAAAATTAGACAATATGCAGAGCATTATATTATGGACATAATATTTTGTTGGGAGTTATTTACACTCTCTGGAACTCTATCCTGTAGTCTCACCGATTCACTCACTCGATTCCTTGCTCTCAAGGCTGATCGCTTTGACCACACTTTCATCATCTTTCCCCTCCCCACCCACCTCTCAGCTCCAACCTTCAGCTCGGGTGCTCAGCCAATACTATTAAGCACCTTGGGATGTCCTCCTGATATGTTAGATACTATA